AACTGTTTATACGAGAAAATAGTTCAATCGAGCTTGTTTAATATTTTAATATTTTGAAATCATCTTCGAATACGTTTTCACAACATCGCCCACATGACGATGACATGTTCATATTTAAATGGAACGCTGATCTTATATAAAAAATTTCAGTTATCTGTTTGGATTAGTTGTGCTCTTATGTCCATCGTCTTTTCATGTTGAATTTTATATATTTGTAATGTTAATTATGTTTTATGAATACGTCCTGATGATGGTCTAAAATAGACCCGAAACGTTAACGTTGACTTTATTCACATTAATACAGCATAATTGCATATTAAGATTTTTGTTTGTTTTTTTTCTGTATATTTTCTTCATATATATATATATATATATATATATATATATATATATATATATATATATATATATATATATATATAAATAAATATTATTACAGTTAGATTTACGTTAAAAATATTCGAACACAGTGGCTTTTCATATCACGTGATGTCCCCATCTCATGACGGACGCTACTTGTAAGCAAACCTCTAAAAACAGTTATTTCTGAAGAAAGGTCGAGGTCGATCTGAAATATCAAATATAAATAAATACTTTCATAAAATAACATTATTATTTTTTTAATTTGCAACTTTTTAGTTGTTTATATATATATATTTACTTATTGTATGTCTGTGTGTGTGTGTGTCCATGCACATGTATAGATGAGAAGGCACATATAGATCTATAACTGTGTACAGGTATATACACACACACACACACACACACACACATAAGTAATATTTGTATGTATATATGAATGTATCTATGTGTACAAGGTACATATATAAACAAGGTTCTTTAATGTTTATACGCATGCATATGTGTGAGTATATATGTATACAAAAATATATGAATGAGCATGGATATATCTACAGGTATTTACCAGTAGATATAAAAAAGCTCTAACACATTTATATTGGTGTTATCTATGTACATGTATCACATATATTCATGTATATACATAGAAACTACTGTCTAGTTTTGGTTGACTCATTAAAAATCAAACTGAAACCCAATGGCACTAATATATATATATATATATATATATATATATATATATATATATATATATGAAACAAAGAAGCAAGCAAGCAAACACTCTCTTGAGTCTTAACATTGGAAGTGGTAAAGTAAGCTAATTTAATTTCTTGTCCCCCTCATCCTGCGTGATATCATAGCATTTTCATCACATACACTTTTGCCTTTCATTCTAAATTGAAGAATATCAAAAGAGCAGATGCTCTTGGCAAAATGTGCAGTTCATAAACCGTTGACTGCCTGAATATCTTCACTTTTGTTTCGGATATTATGATATATCCTACAAATACATCATTCTTCACTTATGTGCAAATAACTTTGAGAAAAGTAGGAATCCATCTCATCTTCAAACAGCTGTGAGTAAATAGCAGGAAAAACTTGATCCTATAGCCTTGGATAGCTAGGAGAAATACTTTGAACTATGGGTTAAAAAGCATCAACAGCCTGCAACTGATCAAGTGTAGTGAACACGGTTTCATTCCTAAAGAAATGAACAATTATGGATGGGTTCCTCCAAGGAGTGAGAAGGCACTGGTTCTGAATCTGGTTCTGATCAAATGACATTTCAAACATATTACTTTTGATTCAACCAATCAACATTGGTAGAATCTAATTTTATTAATTTATATTGAATGAATAAAATATAAGTATATATTTTTGGGAATTGTTATTATTTCATGGGCACCTTCTCTTTTTTATTATTTAATAAAATATTAAAAATAAACCCTTTGAAATTATAATAATAATAATAATAATTCTTTTTGATTTGATAGTAATTCTAGAATCACTGATTAAAGAAAAGAGACTTAAAAACAATTGAACATTACTTGCCATTTCTACCTAAGCCAGTTCTATAGCACACTTCTTAAGGAGAATTATAAGGATACCGTCAGTTGCACATGCTTTGTGGGGATCCGGATTAGCAGTGATAGCAGACAAAATGCCATTGATGTACATCAGTGAATCATCGGTGAAACAGCCTGGAACCATGAAGAAAGATTATATGAAAATTGTGTAGATATTCTGCATAACAACTAATCTGAACGCACAGGTGGTTCACCGTAATACATTTGATCATAGTTTAGACTGAACAAATTCCAAAAAAGACCAGTTTGATCAGAAGAGAATGAAATTGACTTAGAAGGGAATACATTGATTGTGTGCTAATCTCACAATTCTTAAATAAGAACAGGACCAAACATTATATCACCAATCATGGCAAAAACAATAAATGCATAATGTGCTATATGAGCTAGTAGAGAAAAAAATGCAAAGGTCTACTAAGAGTTGGTGGATTTTTATAACTTGCAAACCCCAAAGGTTCTAATATACATATATTTATTTTTTTGAAAATTGAAACATTCTATAATGCTAAATACATACACACAAGAATCCATTTCCAGTTTACAGTAAATATAATTCATCCTTGATAATGGATAAACATATAGCCGAAAGTGCTTGTAAAAATACAATATTTTTAACATATAGTTTTTGTATAATTTTTCCACAGAAAAAAAAAAATAATAAAATCACCTGAGCAATTATATAAAAACCTTTATCAAAGCACCTTGTGTGTCATATTTAATGAAGCTTGCATGAAAGAAGGATTGCTGCCTAAATACACAATTTATATATATATATATATATATTTTCACAACATCGCCCACGTGACACCAACGTGATCGTATTGCGAAACGGAATGCTGATCTTAAAAATTTCAGTTATTCTGTTTTGATTAGTATTATGCCTATCATCTTTTCATGTTGACTTGAATATCATCTAATTTTAATTATGTTTTAATAACTATGTCCTGAAGAAGGTCTACTAGACCGAAACGTTTGACGTCGACATTGAAACAACATTAAAACAGCATACTTGCATATTTGGATTTTTGTTTTTCCATATTTATATATAAAAACAAATAAGTAAATGAAAAAGGCATCCCAGTGGGACCCATACTACCAGGGAAAAATCGCACACCCCAAAAACTAATAAGAAATGGTTGATATATATATATTGTATATGTATATACAGGTATGGATGAGGGGGTACATATAGATCTATATGTGTATACAGGTATACACACACATATATAAGTAATATTTGTATGTATGTATGTATGTATATATGTATGTATGAATGTATGTATGTGTACAATAGAAATGTTTGTACAAGCAAGGTTCTATAATGTATGTATGTATGTGCGTATATATATATATATATATATATATATATGCACAAATATATGAATGAGTATGTATATATCAACAGGTATTTATCAGTAGATATAAAAAAAAAAAGCTCTAAAATATGTATATGTGTTATCTAGCTTGGCATGAATGGGTTTCATGTCGAATGTTGTACCAGCCATAATGAAGGCCATTGTGGACACCATGTTATCGAAAAACAAGTCAGTTCGACTGGCAACCTCATCATATATTGATGATATTTATGTTGATGAGAGCATGATTTCAACTGATCATGTGACAGAGCACTTGGCTGCTTTTTGTCTAACCTGCAAGGATCCGGAGTGATTACGGGTCAGCACACATGATGTGCTGAGTCTGCATGTTGAGCGGGAGAACAACTCACTTAAGTGGAGATGTGAAAATGGGGTCCTGACGTGACACAATGTCTTCTTGTGGTGTGGAAAGCTGGTGGGTCATGTTCCTGTGTGTGGTTGGTTTTGTGTTGCTGCATCATTTCTTAAACACAGAACAGTGTTGATCACATCTGGCTGGGATGACGAAATGATAGATGCTCCTCTTAAGAACATGAATATGCCAAAATGATCCTGCACACAGCAAGTGGTGCACAAACAGACACATTTATGATATGTGGGTCGATGCAAGTTCTCTTGCCACAGGGGTTTTGTTGGAGGTTGATGGAAGTGTTGTAGAAGGACACATGTTAGCTGTAGCCAGTAAAGAGTTGGGAACAGAGTGTGGATGAAAGCTCCCTATGTCTGATGTATCTCCAGATATCAAGTGGGTTATGTGATGGACATTGTCAGTCCAGAAACAATAATAGTTGACAAGATGCCTCGGAATGTGAAAGATCTTCACCTTTTCATCAACTCTGGCACATTGATGTGCAACTCCAACGATGATTTATCATTTGAAATTGATCAGATTGTTGCGGATGTGTGATGTGTGTTGGAGAGGAATAGAAGGTTTGAATTATCAGAAGGTTTAAAATTGTGTGTGTTCAATAATCTTCCATTCACAACAATTAATACAAGATAGCGAATAAGATTCATAAACATATCGCTTCAAAATGTAACAATTGAATTTATTAAGTATTTGATGTACAAGCATAAGAGCTGAAGGTGTGATAGAGTTATGCCTCTTACATTTGGAAATATTTGTATTTGAGCTCATAAAGTGAAAGTAATTATTAAACTGTTGTTTAGAAGAATAAAGTTTCTTTAGCATGTTTGGAATTTTGAGTTGTAAAGTTAGTAAAAGTTCAGAAGAGATTTCAGAGTTCATACTTGCGTGAATGTTGGTAATGGTCTTTAATGTCTGACTGCAAAGGTTAAGATGGGAGTTCTTGAAGCAAGGTTTATTAAAAATGCTTCCATGTAAACACCTCAGAAGATTACATCTTGGCAGGAAGGAATGAGACGCGAGAGAAAGAGAGAGTTTACACATGTTTTGTTTTTTATAATTTTGTTGTACCATGTGGGAGGCTCAGATGGAGAACGCGGGAAAACAGATTTGTCGTGTGCAGGCGGTTTGATTGGTCGAAACTGACCAATCAGCAAGCTAGTTTGAAGTAGATTAACCAATGAATGCTTGTCTATGCACTGTGTTTATGTAATGTGGTGGTAATTACCATAGAGAAAGAGTGCATTTTCCAATAGGGTGTAACTAACTGACATGGAAGATTCCACAAGATAATTGAGATTTTTAAATCCAATGCTTCTACAGACACAGAGGTTCCAGAAACTCCGGATACACCCGATGACTCCTCAGAGGACAACTCTCCAACATACGTAAGTGAGATGGTCTCATTATGATGAAGCACCAGCTGTTTGATTTGTGATAATGAGATCAGGGAGTGTAGTGAAGAAAATGGCGAATTACCTGATCAAACCAAGCAACGTGTCACATGTATTCTACATCAGAAAATGTGGCAAAAAAGAAACTTACTTACTGAGAAAAAGGGTATGTGTTCTGCACAATATGCCGAAGATGAAATATGCAAAATAGAAACAAATCAGCTGCAGATGTTGCCATAAATGTATCTCAGATATGCAAATATTGAGTGTAGTGTCCTCGCTCACCTGTTGACCAATGAAAAAATTATTCTGTTGAATAATAAAAGCAGTTGGTGTTCTCGAATTGAGAAGGAAGAAAACAAATTTGTTTATTTTGCTGTTTTGTCCCTTGACTGGTGTATTTGGATTTGTGAGATGGGACCATTGAATTGAGATTTCAACATTTTTTCTGGCCCTGGATCTTCAAGTTTGGACTTGCAATTTGTTTATTTCATTGTAGAAGTGATCTGCCACATCAATTTTTGAACACACAGAAAGGAATTCACTGAATACATTAAAATATTGAAAAACAAATTCGTGTATTTTTCTACCTCGATCATCAGCTGGTATGTTGGATTTCTGACCGCATTGGTATTTCTGACATAGGACCTGCGAATCAAGATTTCGACATTTCTTTCTTCGCTTGGATCTTCGAGTTTGGACTTGCGATTTGTTTATTTCATTGTGGAAATGATCTGCCACATTAATTTTTGAACACTCAGAAGGGAATACATTTCATTTGAGCCTGTACTAATCTCCCAATTAAGAACATGACCATACGTTCACTGATCTTCAAAAGAAAAGCATAGTACGACGGCATACGAGCTAGTAGGGAAAATATGCAAAGATTTACTTGGAGTCGGTTGATTTAGAAATCTGCAAACCGAACGAAACCCCAAAGGTTCTAAAGAGCAGTTGTCTGTATGTGTGTCCTGCTAAAAACTAAACTTCTTTAACTACAATAATTAACGACAAAAAAACAGACTCAGTATCACCTAACCCAGCTTTTTGCAATCCTATGATTTGTATTTACGAAGATATTTTAAAATTAAAAATACGTAATGCTTTTTTAGCCATTAAGCGTTTCGAATGAACGGAATTATTGTTCGCGTTCGTTTTTATTTTTGAATTTTGGTGGTAATTTCGAAACGCTATATATTTTTAAAATTTCTATTCCTTTGAATTTATTTACGTATATAAAAGTTTAAAAAGTATAACTTAAAAAAAATAATATTAAAACGAAGAATAAATAAAATTATTTGAAAAAAAGTTTAATATTTAAATTTATTTATTCAAATATTGCAAACAAAAATTGTAAACTAACACAACAGAAATTCCCGTATTTTGGGGAGGAAATTTTCAATAGCTTTTTTTTTACAATATTCCACAAAAACGTATCATCTTTTTCGATATTTTTCAATAGGGAAACTTTTTAACTCTCTTTTACCGTTTTACTTTTAATATTTTTTAAAAGTTTACTGTTTAGATAAAAATAAATGCAAAAAAAAAAAACAAAACAAATTATTCTAACTAAAAATATACACAATCCTTGAAAACTTTTTTGGGTGGTGATAAAAAATGTTATTAACTAAACTATTTAAAATTTAATATTCTAAAAATTATTTTTGCTTTAAAAATATTCGGCTTATTTTCTAATTTCGTCCTTCAAATTAAAACATGTACTTTAAATTCAACAGAGACTTTTTTCCTCTTTCACCGCCATTTACATTCATACTTCCGCTTTAACCACATGGGTTACTTTTTAGTGTTTATTTCATTTCACATCGCATTTTTTGGTTAACTACAATAGTAAGTTTATTTTTTCTTTACCTTCTATGATTTTAATACAGTTTTCCCGAATTTATCGCAATGTTTCGATTCATAATTTTATTACAAATTAAGCGAAAATAAGGCATCTGATTAATTACTGTTTTTAAAAACTTCATTTTTATGAGAAATTAAATTTTATTTTATATCACTAAAAAAGAAAGAGTGAGGAATCCGAATACTTTTTTTTTTTAACTTTTTGTTTCTTAAAATTTTGCTTGTTACTGTAGCATAAATTATATTTTGCTTCTGTTGCATTATTTTACGTCAGGATATTTTTTTTATATAAGTTTACATTAGAATTGAATCTGTAAAAAAAAAAAGAAAAAAAAAAGCAATTAAAAAAAAAAATAAATTTGAAGTTATAGTTTTTGATAGTGATACAGAATTCATAATTTTTTCTTAATCTTAAACTGAATCCTACCTGGAAAAAAAAAACCTGTTGCAGGGAGGTAGTTGAAACAATGTTAAAGTAAGGTACTTCAGTCAGTTATGTCCCATGCGTGATACACGCTTAGGCGATCATGTATCTTTCGATACATGACTGACGAGGTAGATTTTTCCCGCAGTAGACCAGTTGCTATCCAAGGCTATATAGATAGATCCCGGTCTCTCCTGCTATTTACCGTAAGTGAATGTAATAGATTCAACTGGAATTCGAACTTGGCTCTCTGATTCCTCAACCCAAGCTGCTATCCATTGGCATTACTCCACCATGCCTAACTTACTTAACTTAAATTTCTAATTTAATTTTTTTCTTATTTGAACAGTAACTAGTCTGTACAAATTCCAAAATATGTGCCACGTCTCTTCAGAATGCTGACTCTCATGGCTCTCCACAATTTCCTGTCCTTTGTAACTCTTAATAATTTGTCTTTGTCTCATTTTCCTAAACCCTGCTCCACTATCCATTCACTGAAGCTCACCAAGTATGTTGGGCATTGCTTTCCTTTGCCCCCGTATAGCAGTTCAGTACCTTTTCATCAATTTGTCCAAATTTTCCAAGCCTTCTCTCCTTATTATGTTCCCCAGAAATTTCAACTGCCTCTTCCTGATTGATTCCTTTTTGTTGTCATTGTCTCTAGAACTTCCTCATTACTCATATGTTCAGTCCATGATATTCTCAGCATCATTCTGTAGAACCATATTTTTGTTGCTTCAAGTATTTTCTTCATCTGAGAGATGATTATCTAGCATTCATTGTCATCAGGTGGACTGATATTACATAACAGTTCAGTACTTCTTTTCAGTGCTATAGTATATCTACAAAGAAATTTCCGACCTACCATAAATGACAAGGCACTCATTGCTGAAAACAATGACCTGTTTTCTATGTTTTTTTTTTTATTTTTTAAATGAGACAAAAAGTTCACAAGCTAAGAATGGTGTTAACATGCAAAAGGGATACAGACAAGTGATCGCAGCATTCTGACTTGACAAGAAAAAAAATTGGCAGATGAAACTGGGAACAGGTCTATCTTATTGGCTAGGTAGAAATCCCAGCATTCATCTGTATGATTTGTCTATAAATTTGGAGGGGGAAGTTTTTATTGTCATTCGTATGCCAATTGGAACAAGCACTTCTTTTCCAAATTGTGCAATCTATTTTATCCACATTTCCAGAAATATTTTGTTTGATTTTAATCTTTTATTATTTTAGTACTTTGGATATAGATTAAAAGAAAATTGGCTCTCACACAAATCCCCTAGAAGAAGATATGAATTCCTCCCCCCATTGAGTTATGTGATGAACAGCCTCGTAGAAGCAAGTGAGCCAGAATGTCTTGCATCTGGTGTATAGGAAAATAAGGGTCTTACTTTAACATGCGGCACGTGACATCAGCAAGTTTTGCTTTGTGAAAATGGCATTACTCTCCTGTCCAGCCATTCTAGCAGTATGTGCAGTGATGAAGGTTTTTTGTACAGTTTGGCATGCTTCCACCAATAGCAAGTCATGTGATGATTGGTTGAACTGGAGGAGGCAATTTGCCTGTGTAACTGAGATTAACAGCGAAGAACGCTGATTGGCTAGTGAACCGTGGTGTTGGCCTGATAAAAAAGTGCTGGAGCCATGAAAAAGGGAATAAAAACGTTGGCTATATTTAGTGATGTGTGAAGAAAGCGAGAACGGTGCATTGAATCAGCAATATTTTGATTTGTACAAGCGACGTTGCAGCAATACAGACTTATTTAAACTACAGGTTACCTGTACTTCTCTATTTTAATTTCTCTGTTGTTTTATTTCAGCAGTTGAATAATGGGTAAGAAAAAAGGAAAAATTGATAAAATTCATTATAAGAAACGGAATGCTGAAGTAAAGAAGATTAATCCATTTGAAATAAAAGTAAATAAACAAAAACATCATGTTTTGGGTCGGAAGTTATCAAAGCACGAAATTGGTCTTCCTGGTCATTCAAGATCCAAGTCTGTTAAGAAGGTAAGTAATCAACATTACCATTCAAGTCTTTTTTATTTTTAAGAATACTTTTTTTTTTTTTTATCATTTTATCCCAGACAAGACAATAAAACCACTAGGATACAGAGGCTTACTTGAGTGAAATAATATAAGAAAAAGAAAAACTTTACAGTATATTTCCATGTTTCACCTTTTAGATAAGACAAGGTCAAAAAAATATAGTAAATTTTCATGAATTTATTGTCCCTGTAGTATAAGATGACTGCTTATTGATTATATAAAGATGTTATTAAAAATGTTGTTACTGTATCCTTAGAAATACAAAATAACAAAGCCAATTCTATATCATGTTTTTCCTACACACATCCTCTAAAAAGGAAACCATTGTTTTGTTTACATTTCATCATGTGATCTCTTGCAAATACTGATTCTTTTTCTTTTCCTATATCTAAACAGTTACAAACAGCCTGGTGTACTAATGGCCATTTACGTATACTTTATCGACATTTACAAAATACCACTAATAAGAGTACAATAACAGTACATTCTGTTGCTGTAAACGGAATCATAAGTCAATGTTTACATTTACTCAGCTGAGCTTGCATGGATACAAATTGATTTCATTGATATGGAATTATTCATTGAATAGGCAATTTAGTCTGAAGTTATACCAGTAATATATAAGGTAGAAATGGTTTTATTATCAGTTTATTTGATAATATGAATCTTTTCATGTATGTTATTGGTTATTGCACCGAAGCCGAGGTTGGCCTACCAACAAACATCACTCAGAATTTAAGGTTTATTTTTTAGAATTGTAGTATAAGATGACCCTCAATTTTTAAGGGTGATTTTGGGGAATTAAAGGTCGCCTTATATATGAAAATATATATTAATTATTGGAATGTTGGCAACTGTTTATCTTGTTGAAAATACCAGGTGCTATAAGCTTCGATATGCAGGTGGTATAATGGATAATGGCTCAGAATTGTTAATCAAAGAGCTGAGTTCCAATCCCGGTTGGGTGTGTTATTCATTTATGTGCAAATACCCTTGGGGGAGGTATGAATCCACTTCTTCTCCCCCCCTCAATCAATAGGTTAATTAGTAAGACTTGTATCTCTAAAACCATTACTATCTCCAAAGAAAAATATAGATTTGCATACAAAAAAATTTAGATTTCAGCATTAAATAACCCACAGAGGTTGACATGCAGCTAAACAAAACCAACCAACCATCGTTTATCTTGTACAAGAATAACAACCTGGTTGGTGGCGTAGTTGTTTCACCATGTCATGCCAGACAATTTTTCTCATCTGAATCCATCTTGCATGTTTATAAATCTACCATTCATCTGTGCATTGAATATTGCTGTGATATCTAGTCTTGTTCTCTTGCTATCTTGAGATTCTTGACAAAATTCAAAGAAGGGTCTGTAATGTTATTGGTTATGATCTGGTATCTTAACTTTAATCACTTTCCCATCACCTGACATGACTTTCCACTGTTTTTTTTTCTATAAGGAATACCTAATAAGTAGATTGATTGATTTGTTTTGTATGGTTTATCAAGCTATTGCAGGTTATTTAAAGCCAGAAAATATTTTAGATTTGGAGAAATTTTCTTTTTTTTCTGCTTTTGAGATAATAATTGTTTAGTGATGCAAGTCTTACTGAGGGGAGAAGACGTGGAGTTGTACCGAATTACAATTTGATAAACAGACAAGAAATTGTGGGGGATCAATTCTATATTACTATCAATATATGAACATATCCCTCACTTCGTGACAACAATAGTTTCTATAAATTTATATTTCAGAGAATGTAAATAAATCTATAAGACATACCTGTGTAGCTAATCAGTATTTCATTGATTGATGATTCGTTTTCTATGGCTTGTCAACACTTTGGCAGGTTATTTTTAGCCAAAAATTATAATGTTAATATAAAGTGGGGGATTGATTATAGATTACAATTAATATATAAACTGATCCCTCATTTTGTGGCTTCAATAGTTTCTCTACATTTATATTCCAGAGAATGTAAATAAATCTAAAAGACATACCTGTGTAGCTAATTAGTGTTTCATTGAGTGATTGATTCATTTATTTTCTATGGCTTGTCAACACTGGCATGTTATTTAAAGCCAGAAAATATTTTTTAGATTGTAAGAAAATATATATAATATATATATATATATATATATATATATATATATATATATATATATATATATATATATAATTTTTTAAGGTAATAATGATTTATTGATACAAGTCTTACTAATTAAACCCTAGCTGAGGGGTAGAAGAGGTGGGTTCATACTCCATTTCTAAGGGTATTTGTGCGTAAGTAAATATAATGAACCCAATTGGAATTGGAACTCAGCTCTCCACTTTTCAATTCTGAGCTATTATCCATTATACCAATTGCACAAAGTTAAGCAACATCAAGCTTGGTCAGTACATAGATGGGTGACCATTTGGGAATGCCAGGTGCTGTAAGCTTGGATATGCGGGTGGTGTAATGGATAATGGACGAGAATAATTAAACAGAGTTCCAATTCCTGTTGGGTTTGTTATGTTCACTTAGACACAAATACCTTTGAAAAAAGGTATGAATCCACCTCTTTGCCAGCCATGTTTATGTTAAACATAACATATAAACATTGTTTGTTAATAGTTCATGTAAGCTTTTCAACAAAAAAGTGACAGGAAAAATATTTTCCTGCTTTGTTTATTAAAGCAAAATTAGTTCACACAATTTGACCCAAATGTTTGTCACATTTCAAGATAAATGATTTGAATATTTAAAACTCTTTCAAACTTCATTTGGGTTTCTTTCACCAGTTTAAAAATGAAGTGCTTAAGTTTTGTTTGTTTGTGTCTGTGTGTGTGCATGCTCCATTTATTAAAAGCCCACTACTGTTGATAAGAAGTAAGAATTTTTCTTATTTTAAGAAATTTGTTGCTTTTAGATTATATTGGGTTGGCAAAAAAAGCTTGTTGGGTTAAAGTCATTTTTATTTGAAAACCAAACAAACCTTTTGGCTAAAGCAATAACAGAAGCTTAATTAAAAATTTTGTATTGTTCTGGCGGCATCCCTTCCATGCTACATTAATCTTGAACTTTGCTACTTGGTTAGAATCTGTCTGTCCAATATCTAGAATGAGTCAGCAGTCTGATTCTTAAAGGACAATCTTGTTTGCAGATAATGTATGTGAAACTAGTTTGAAGAGCGTGAACTTAACTTTTTCCTGTCTTTGCTCCATACATCATCTTCTCTTTTCCATCCAATGATTATGCTTGTCCCTGCTTCTCTCAATGTTGTCAAGTGCTAGCATCACCCACAAATTTCTCCTCATTATCTGAATCAATCTCAGTCTCAATGAATTTCAAGTTTCACTTGCAGACATCCTTAAAGAACAGGGTAAGGTGGCCTACTGGGAGTTGTCCTGTGGTCAGCTTACCATACATAACATCTTTTGTTTGCTGAATATGACCAAACCATCACAGTACTGGAATAAGATAAAATAACATAATGAGTCACTGCTCATTTCTGAGTATGCCCATCTGCTTAAGGGGCTAGCTAATCCCTATTGCAGACACCTATTCAGTCACATTTGTGTTACTTCAACTCTCCTGAGCAGCTCTTATTTACAGTTCCTGTGATAGAGCACATAAATGACATGGCCTGTTGAACATGGCCTATGACCCTCAGTCTCAATTTGTGACTTGATGCTAGCACAGTCATTGATAGCTTTCAGACAGTTTGTTTATCCAGTAAGCTTGTGTCAAACCGTATTATTGTTTTAAAAAACATTTCTGAATAGTCCTGCATGCAAAGTTCATCTTCCCAAGCCAATATTATCCTTGATTAAAATAAAAAATAGACCAATGTGTTATTCATTTTAAAAAAAAATGTTGACCAGTACGTTAATTTTTTTAAAATGATATTGACCAATGCATTTTCACATTTTTTTTTAAAAGTTTACCAATACATTACTCATTTTTTTAAATGATGTTGATCAATGTGTTATTCATTTTTAAAAAATGTTGACCAATGTGTTTTTTATTTTAAAAAAAAAAATGTTGACCAATGTGTTTTCTATTTAAAAAAAAATGTTGACCAATGTGTTTTCTATTTAAAAAAAAAATGTTGTCCAATGCATTTTCCATTTAAAAAAAAATATTGATCAATGCATTATTCATTTTTTAAAAAAATGTTGACCAATGCATTATTCATTTTTAAAAAAAATGTCGTCCAATGCATTTTTCATTTAAAAAAAAGATTGTTGACCAATGCATTTTCCAATAAAAAAAATTGTTGACCAATGTGTTATACATTTTTTAAAAAAAAATGTTGACAATGTGTTCACCATTTTAAAAAAAAAAATATTGTTGGCCAATGCATTTTTCCATTGTAAAATCATTAGCTAGTGTGTTTTTTAGGTTCTTTGGCATATGGTAATGTTTAGCAAGTAGTTAGTGTGTAGTTATTTCAATCCTCATTGGCTGCTTCATACAAAATTTAACATTAAATTACCCAATAAGGTTTGACATTTCATAATATCAACCACCCATATCAAACCATATTGCTGCATGTATTACAATATGCACTCAAATACATTACTGGTTGAAGTATTTTATATTGTTTGTTATTTATGATAATTTATTGTATTTTATTATTTATTGAAAACTTGATATTTTTCTTTCATTCCAGAGAAAGGAAAGTCTCTTACCAGAATATGAACAGAGGTTCAAATCCAGCAAATTTGTTGACAAACGAATTGGTGAAAATGATGCCAACCTTTCATATGAGGAAAAAATGACAAAACGATTAGTATTAGAAAAACAAGTAAGTCTTTTTCTGTTTTTGATAAATATAAACGTGGGTACCCCCAAAAAAGCAATAGCTAAGGTTTAAAATGCAACTTGAAGCTTGTATTTTTATTTTAATTCCAAGTTAATAGATTAAATTTAATATTTCCAATAAGCAAAATACTTGCTGTATTTCAAACCGAATTTAAATGGGTTGGAATGAAATTGCTAAATATGGCTAAAATCAGCCATATTGACAAATTTGTCAACACAACATAATTCTCTTTCTTTAAAAAAACTTCCAAAAATAAAACATGCTTTTCTGAAACTTCATTTGAGGAATATTAGTGGATTTGGATTTTAATTAATCTGAATTAAAACAAATATTACTCACTTTTAGTTTAAAATATCAAAGGAAAACATTTTTTTAAATGGAAGTGGGTGTTTTTATAGGGTATTGACACATTTATTGATAATCTGACGTTTGGCATTTTTAGGTAAAGGGCATTTAACTAATAACTGGATACAACTTGAACACCTTTTTTTTTTTTTTTTTTTTTTTTTTTACAGTAATCTTAAAAATTTAGGAAAATATTCTAAGTCATCTAATATTTTCTTGGATTTTAGGTACTTTGGCTTTATTGCCTTACTTACAAAGACACTTGTTGGGGAAATGCTAGAAAATTACTAATAAATTTTAAATTTACTATCATTACCAATCTTATTTTTTAATGTTATATATGGACATCTGTATTTACAAAAAGCAGCACATTTATACACGCATAAAAAACAAATTTTTTTTTTTTTTTTTTTTAATACTGGGGGTTACCAAATTATAGTAAGCTTGTGGATTTATAAATAAATAGTAAATAATTGTACTTAATAACCATATCATCTAACAGGTACAAATTAATATAGAATGTAAAAAAATTTTTAATTTTAGAAAGTGTTATAATTAAAAATAAAAAAAAAAAATGAAGACAATTCTTGTAAAAATTCATTATTCATTGGAAAAAAAAATTTTCTTAAGACAATAGTGTCCATAATATATGTTATTTATAAAAGCAATTAAAAGCATTCCTAATTTAATAAAGTCATAGTTTTATTGCATTATTTATTTCCTGATTGAGAGCAGATTTTCTGTAATTAGAGTGTCCTGTTTAGCAAAAAAAAAAAAAAATTATGGCAGCATTCACCAACTTAAACAAGGAGACCATCCAGAAGAGTTGCATGATTCCAAAAGTTGTCTGGAGGCTGTCGTTGAAGCCAATGATGATTTTATTGAATAAATTTACTCTTTAGTATTTCAAGATATTTTTATGTGATTTTGGTAAATATATCTATTAAAATATGAGATGTCAGTGCTGTTTTAATTTTTGAGTAATTTAACAATGATTGTATATATATATATATATATATATATATATATATATCAGGTTAATAAATAGAGCTAATACTGTTTATTATAAACAGCACATTTACTTAAATATTTGTATCTATAAAAAATAACAAACATTTATATATATATATATATATATATATATATATATATATATATAAATTCTTTATTTTATAGAAATCTTTTGTAAATATTATATATATATATATATATATATATCATATATATATATTATATATATATTATATATATATATTAATTATATAAATTAAATATATATATATATATATATGTATATATATATATGTGTATATAATATATGTGTATATATATATATATATATATATATATATGTATATATATATATATGTTATATATATATATATGAGTATATATATATTGTGTATATATATATATATATATATATATATATATTATGTATATATATATATTGTTATGTATATATATATGTATATAAATTGTGTATATATATATATGTATATATATATGTATATATATATATTATATAAAGTATATATATATGTATAAAATATATAATGTATATTTATATACATTTCTATCAACCCATTCAGGTTATTTATATATAAATATATTAGATTATATAATACACATATTTGAAGATGTATAGTGTGTATATATATATACACATACACAGTTTATACATGGACACAAACATAAATGTAAATTTGATAAACACACATGAAATTATATATGGAGATATAAAGGGTGTACATACATATAATATATCTATAAATAAAACTTGTATATATATATGTGGTCATGGTATTGATTTGCCCACATCTATATATATAATGTATATAAATATAAATTTTATGCCTGTATATGTATTATATATATACAATTGATATGATTCTTTTATACTAAATATGGTATATATATACATATTTATATTATTTAAATATAGAAAATATTTTATATATATAATATATATATATATATATATTTTTTCATATATATATATATATATATATATATAGGTATTATATATATAATATATATATATATATATGTGTTTCCATATATATAATATATATATATATGTATATATATGAATATATATATATCATATATATATATATATATATATCTATATAAAGTATATAATTGGTATATAAAATAATTTTAAATAACCAACAATTACTATTCTTAAAAAAGTGCTCAAAAAAGTAGAGCAGATATAATTATTTTTTAAAAATTATAACATAATTATAAAAAATCATAAAATTATAATATAAGTATGTATAAAATCATTTAAGACACAGTGTGTTGAAACAAAATGGCTATTGTTGTAGTGATTTTATAATATACTTATAATTATAATTTTTTATAAAATAATTATATATATATGTATATATATATTAAGTATGTATATATATATATATATTCATCCCACTTTTGGTTCTTTTCTTCTGCTTACGAGATCAAAAAATACCAACTTAAATTCTGTCATTGATACACACTAAGTTATAATGTTCTCGCTCACTTTCATTGTTTATAGCAGCACTTGTTAGAAATTAATATAATAGTGAAATGGAAATATCTCTCAGGAGAAAAAGATAGCACAACAACGCCTATTTCAAGACTAAACTAAATTGAAGCCAGATGATCACTTAATAGAAAAAGGTATCTGAGTACCTCACATGAAAAGCTTGAACAAATAAGACTGTAATCTAAGAAATGTTGGAGTAAAGGAACTTATTAATTAAACAGTTCATTTTGCTTGGGAAGTAATTTTGTCCGAAGAGAAATATTAAAATGACTAAGGGGAGTAATTACTTATAAGTTTACGATATTAAGTTGATTTACTTCCCTTGCCGTTACTGATGGGCCAGGAAAAATACAAATAGATACACATTGATGATTATTATATTGTTTGATGATTCTTTTCAACTTGTTCCATCTTACTATTTTACCATATTGGCAGTATTTAGTATAAGCTGATGGCAACTACTGTAGAGAGGCAGGACTTCACCTCCACTATTTTTATTTATTTTTTTTTTCTTTCAGAAATATTTGGAGAAACGTAGCATCTTCAGTTTAAATGATGATGAAGAACTCACTCATTATGGCCAAACTCTGTCAGAGATAGAAACTTTTGATAACCCCATTGACAGTGATGATGAAGAAATTGATGGCCGTATCAGTGGTAAGGTTTTGTTGACATTTTGCTGTTATCTGAAAATGACTTTCTGTTTTGTCTCTACAAACAATTTTTAACTTATCTCTCATACAAAACTGTCAACTGTGTCCTCTAAAGTGATAGATAAATCATTTTAAGTTTACAGATCACAACAGCTAATAAGGAGATATGATTAAATATACTTTAATGGTTTAAAAAATGTATTCATTATTATTATTGTTTAGGTAACAGGCATTATAACTTAGCACAAATAGCTCTATTGTGGGAAAAGGAATTTTCAACAATATATGCATTTTTTATATATTTATGGTTATTTTTTTAACTTTTATCAAAAGCTACATTCTTGTACATGTAGTTATGGATAATATTAGACATTAATTACTAATTATTTTAATTAATAACTATTTGTGATCACTTGTTGACATTAATAGCTATCTGCTGATCTGTTAAAATTTTGGAATAATGCAATAATAAAAATTTAAATTTCATCTCCCTGATAGATGTCATGATCTGTTAACATAAAATTTATCATTTAATCAATCTGCCACAAAACTCAACTGTGCCCTATAAAGAGAAAAATAAACTGTCATTTGGTTACTTTGTTCAAATATTGCATTTGTACATTGGCCCATTTAAGTTAGAGCTGTCATTGCTTTTAAAACACATTTTTAAACACGTTCACTGTTATCTATACATAATACCATTGCAATTTCTTAAAAGTTTGTCTTTTTTATTTATTAATTCAACAGATTTTATCACTTTAAATATTATTTTAGTGTATACTCAAATATGAGTAGACGTTCTATTTATTTATTAAATGTTATATTTATTTATTTTTATTTACAGGCCTGAATAGTTGAGAAATCTTATTAAATATGTGCCCTCTGGCAGGATTCAATCCTATTGGCAGGAGAAACTATCGTTAGATCCAATGCCCTTATACTAACTCAGCCACAAAGGATATTTGCTGATCAAGCAAGGCTGAATAGTGCCTTTTAAGCAAAATCCTTCCAGTCATAGATTCTTGAACATTCATATTGTTATAGACAAGCGTATGGTTGCAAGAAAGAAATACAACAGTAGAAATAGATTTATGTGGATTATTTCAACAGGAACGTAAGGGTTTAGGGACAGCTACCTTAGTGTGGTAAAGTTCATAAGCTGGCTTTCGGATCTAGGTTGATCTCATAGTAGTTCACATGTTGTTGACGGTGGTTGACGCCTCCTGCTGACAGCTGCTAAATGTGACCGGGTCTCTTTGTGGCCACCTGTTGACTGCTGCTGAACTTCCTGTGACCCCTTTTATAGCGTTTTTTTATGGCTTAACAGGCTCGAGAAACGAAGCGAGTATAATTAGGAGGGAAGCATTTTTTATTGGACAAAAATAGAGCACTTTAAATATTATTTTATTTTTCGACCGAACACGTGTGTCGGAAACATTTGTGAAGAAAGATAATTTTTGTGACAGGGCTTTGTCCCATTCATCCGGTTCTCGCTCTTGAGTATTTGCCTGTAAATCAGCCGAGATATGTCATTTTATTTTATAACAATATTGTATCCAAACATAAACAAAGCAATTTCTAAAGCATGTCGGGTCTAACAACAATTTCTCTTGCTAATGGGGATGCAGGTTCAAAGCCTGCCACAAGGCACATATTTTTCTTTAATAAATTTTTCTCAAATATTCAGACCAACAGACAAAAATAAATAGTGTCTACTCAAATATGGCTATCCACTAAAATAACCTTTACGTGATATATATATATATATAATCAAAGTGTAGGCGAATGAACAGTAGGATTACAGCATTCAAAACATTAGTTTAAAAATAGTGCTCAATACATAAAGTAGAGCTGTAAATATTTATTTATCTTATGCAGTGTTACGTTAGAACATGCACATGTCCTCTACTAAAATTGTACATTTTTGTTTCAATGTCAAAAAATGGGAAAAACCTTTTTTAGACATCTCATCAGGTGGGAAATTACGGTGTTATGTGCATGTTCTAAAGTAACACTGAATAAATATATATATATATATTGTGTGAGAGAGAGAGAGACCTATATTCACCATAATAATAAAATGTCGTATTTATAACCTTTACGAATTCACACTTTCTTTCGGAGTTGTATCCCCTGGATCCATATTAATTTTGAGTGGTGTAGCAGTGGTGTAGTGGATAGCGGCTCAGATTGAGGAATCATTACTACTTTAGGAATTGCTTTGGTTAGATTAGGATACAAAATTGAGAAGATATGAATGCTTTGGGAGTCTGTGAAAGATTTGGGTTTATAAGACACTATTCAACTTTGCTTGATTGGCAACACACTCTGTGAGTGAGTCAGTATAAACACTTCAGATGTAGTGACATTTCTCCTGCCAAGGGGGACCAGGTTCAAATCTTGCCAGAGGTTAAATATTTTTCTTTAATAAGATTTTTTGAATATTCAAGCCAGTAAACAAAAATAAATATATTGTTTAATAAATAAACAGAGCATCTACTCCAATGTGAGTACCTGCTAAAATAACTTTCAAAGTAATAAAATATAATACCATCTATGTAAAGATTTACCAACAGCAATTCCTTTTTAATACTACTTATTGTTTTTATATATATATATATATATATATATATATATATATATATATTATAAATTAATTGATTTAAAATATGAGCATATTTGCCTTTGTGGTACCTATATATATATATATATATATATATATATATATAGGCGGTTCAAGCTAATATGGTCAGTACTTAGATGGTACTTGTTATATAATTTTGACTGTTTTGCCTTTGTGGGTAGATAATGGCTTGAATTGTCATATCACCTTGAAACATTGGTTCCTGTATGATCACCGAAGTTAAGCAATATCAAGCCTGGTCAGTACCTAGATGGGTAATTGCTTGGGGATACCAAGTGCTGTCAGCTTAGATGTGTGTGGTGTAATAGATAATGGCTTGGAATTGTTAAACAGTTCCATTTCCAATTGGGCTTGTTATATACACTTACGCACAAATATCCTTGAGAAATATATGAATCCACCTCTTCTCCCCTAGCTATGGGTTAATTAGTAAAACTTGTATCACTCAACCGTTATTATCTCAAAAAAAGATTCTTCCAATCTGAAAATATTTTCTGGCTTTAAATAACCTGCAAAGGGTTGATAAGCCATAGAAAACGAATGAATCAATGAAATACTGATTAGCTACACAGGCATGTCTTTTAGATTTATTTACATTCTCTGGAATATAAATGCATAGAAACTGCCGTGGCCATAAAGTGATGGATCAGTTTATATATTGATTATGATATAGAATTGGTCCCCCACTTTATATCCACATTATAATTTCTTGTTTGTTCATAAGCCATAGAATACGAATTAATCAGTGAAATACTGATTAGCTACACAGGCATGTCTTTTAGATTTATTTACATTCTCTGGAATATAAATGTATAGAAACTACAATGGCCACAAAGTGAGGGAACAGTTTATATATTGATTGTAATATAGAATTGATCCCCCACTTTATATCCACATTATAATTTCTGGTTTTAAATAACCTGCCAGCTTACTGCTACACAAGGCTAGAGAAGCCATAGAAAATGAATCAATCAATGAAATACTGATTAGCTACACAGGCATGTCTTTTAGATTTATTTACATTCTCTGAAATATAAATGCATAGAAACCACTGTGTCCACAAAGTGAGGGATCAGTTTATATTGTTTGTAATATAGAATTGATCCCCTACTTTATATCCACATTATAATTTCTTGTTTATCAAATTCTGATTAGGTATGAATACACCTATTCTCCCCCAGGCTATGGGTTAATTAGTAATAATTGCATCACTAAAAAAAAAAAAATAAATATCCTAACAATCTAAGAATATTTTCTGGCTTTAAATAACCTGCAAAAAGTTGATAAGTGGTAGAAAACGAATCAATTTGCCTTTATGGGATTGGTTCAAAATTCTGAGGAGGTCACCAGGAAGAACAGACACCTGAAGAAGGCTGGAGTGTATAATGTCTGTAACGTCAGTATGATGATCAAGACGAGCATCCTGGTCTGAAAAGTATATAATAGCAATTGCTCATCTTAAATATAGAGAGAATTAATGAAACTGGACTGTTACATATTATTAGTCTTATATTACAATGAATGCTGGATAATCTCCTCACAGATGAAGAAGTGACTTGAGGCAGCAGAAATGTGGTTTTACAGGAGGATGCTGAGAATACCATGGACCAAATGTGAGCAACAACAAAGTTTTAGAGGAAATGGAACCAAAAAGGACACATACTTAACATCAGAATATGTTGAAATTTCTAGAGCACATAATGAGGAAAGAAGGATTGGAAAATCTTATACTCACAGGATAGATTGAAGGCAAGATAGACAGAGGAAATCAACATATAAGCTACATAGTGAGCTTTAGTAAATAGATGGCGGAACAAGGTTTAGGAGAGACAATAAAAAGACAATTAAGGGCAGGACATTTTGGAGAGCCATGATCACCAATGTCTTGAAGGGACATGCCATATAGTTGAAGAATGGTTTGGCATGTAGGACAGTGTAAAATTTTCATGACTTATTTGGAAAGAAAAAAATTCTTTAAGTCAGAACATACAGTAAATGACTTGTTTTTGCTTTGCAAGATCAATGCCACAATTGTTTCTTTTTGCATCGACTTAACTGTTTCTTTTCGCATCAAACAAATTTCCAGGTAAATTGGTTGCCGAAGAACATTTTGGTGGTGGTGTTTTGGAGAAGCAAGACAAAGATGAGGAGAGAAAACCATGGAAAGAGAGAATGGAAGAATTAATCATTAAAACTAGAAAAGAAAAGGTAAATTTTTAGAAAACTTGAAGTTTACATTTACAGATTAATACTATTTTCAGTTGATTTCTATAGTAAATTTTTAATAATCTATTTGCATATTAATTTCTGATGAATTTATATAGAAAAACCTATAATGATATCTTTTGCATATTAACAAAATTTCCAATGCATTTCTACAGTGAAAGTTAATGATGTATTAGTATATTAAGAAAAAACTCCAACTTTTTATAGTAGAAATCCTTAATGCATTTTACATATTAACAAAATTTTAATAATTTTATAATTAATTTTATAATTATAATTATATATATAATTATAAATTTTATATTATATATATATATATATATATATATATATATATATATATATATATATATAATATAATATTTATTATATTATATAATTATTATTTTAATTTTTATAATTAATTTAATAATTTTTAATAATCTATTTGCATATTAATTTCTGATGAATTTATATAGAAAAACTTATAATGATGTCTTTGCATATTAACAAAATTTCCAATGCATTTCTACAGTGAAAGTTAATGATGTATTAGTATATTAAGAAAACTTCCAACTTTTATAGTAGAAATCCTTAATGCTTTTACATATTAACAAAATTTCCAATGAAACTTCTATAGTAACACTGTTAAATCCTTAACAGTCTATATGCATATTAACTTCCAATGAATTTCTTTTAGTAAAAATTCCTTAATGATGTCTTTGCATATTAACAAAATTTCCAATGCATTTCTACAGTGAAAGTTAATGATGTATTAGTATATTAAGAAAACTTCCGACTTTTAGAAATCCTTAATGCATTTACATATTAACAAAATTTCCAATGAAACTTCTATAGTAACACTGTTAAATCCTTAACAGTCTATTTGCATATTAACTTCCAATGAATTTCTTTTAGTAAAAATTCCTTAATGATGTCTTTGCATATTAACAAAATTTTCAATGCATTTCTACAAAAAAAAAACTTAACATTGTTTACCTATTAATAAAATATCAAAAGTTTTATAGTAAAAACCTTAATACATTTACACATTAACAAAATTTTCAAATTATTTCTATAGTAAAATCCTTAATTGTATTTGTGTATTAACAAAATTTCCGATGCTTTTTCTTAGTTAAATAACTTGTAATATATTTACATGTGGAAATCAATTGACATTTATTTCTATATTAATATTACTATTATGCCTTTCTCTAGTAAAATTATTTGAATTTCTATATATGCCTTGAGTATTTGTCGTGTTACTATATATATGTAATTACTGAGTTATTGAAAAGATTTTATATATTGAATAAACTCTGTTCATAATATTTCAAGTTACATAAATTACTACCATTGAGATAATTTGCAATGTATTTCCATATTAAACTAATGTGCCATTTTCCATTATAAACTGAAACATATTCTTGAATTAAAGTTAAAACTTTCCTTTTGTTTTTCAGTTTGAATTGCAAAAAGAACGAGAAAATGCTATTAAACTTACGGAGCAAGTGGATTCAGATTGGAAAACCTTACGTTACCTCATGTCTGGATCTACTTTAAAGGTATGTGTTAACTGTATTTAACTGAAATAAAAATTTCCTCTTTTTACAACTTAAGTAAAATTCCTTTACTTAGAGCAGTGTTTCCCAAACTTCTTTTTCTCTGGGCCACAATTTTGAAATTAAAATTTATTCGTTTTTAACCAAATTTTATGTGATAAAAAAAAGTACATTTAAAAATTAAAAACAGAGAGGGTTAAATGGAGATAACTGCAGATTCGAAGTTTGAACATTATCATTGATAACTCTCTCCTCCAATTTATAGACCTGAGTTACTATATTCTTAAAACTTGATATAATGCAAAAATATCACAATGTTAAAATAAGTTAATAGCTATTCATACTGGGACTCATGCATGCAATTACAAGTAATCCACAATAATATTTTAAATTATGAAATCATATTCATTTTTGGCATATGAATATTTTAAAATTTTTCTAAATATTTGATCGTCTTTCAATCATTTCGCCTCACCTGCCTCACATATGAGGTGCACTGCACCGTTTGGGAACCACAGACTTTGGAGTCACCTATTTGTAGTAAATATACATATGCACTCACCTATATATGTAGGGCTGGTATATACTACCATTGAACCCTCCCACCGGAGATGGGCCAAGCCTGAACGGGAGCCCTGGACAGTGCTTTGTAGTCCTTGCTATCTTATCAACATTTCCTTTTTTCTACCTACTTATATATATGTTACAAATCAAACTAAGCATAACTATTAAAGGATGAAAAATTTTTGCAAACTTTGATGTCATTCTGGGGTTCCTTTTTTTTTTTTTTTTTTTTTTTTGCTCATGCTAAGTCTTGAAAAAAGCACTATATAAAATTCATTGTCTTTTATCCATAATGTTGATTGTGTTAAAATTATTCAATTTTTTATCAACAAAAATCTTAAGTTGATGATAAAAATTGCCACAAAACATTCTTGATTTATTTAAGATGGAATAATCTGTTATGACATGTCTTTAATTTCTATCTAGATACATTGTATTTATTTTCTACTAGCAGTAGAGCCCGGTGTTGCCCAGGGATGTAACAGTAAGAGATAGATCAAGTATCGACCATCATAAAGACTGAAAAATAAAATTGACAAAGATTATTGTTTAAGGTTGATGGACACGCATGTCTTAATTAGTTTTTTTTTTTGTTTTTTTTTTTTTTTAATTGGTCAAACCCAAACTCAGACAAAAACATTGTTTTCAATCGTTATGAGTCTACCAATTGAATAGAATTTTTCAATTTTATTATAAACAATTGTCTTGTAAATAGAATTTTTAAAGCATTCTGAATGTAAAAATAAAGAAAAAAGTGTGCAAGACAATAAGAAACTCTACCTGCCAAAAAAAAAGTGAAGTTTTGAAATTGGTTGAAAAATGTAGGAAATCTGATCCCATATATAAACGAGCACACACACACACACACACACACACAAACAACCTGGGTTTTATAAGTATAACTCGATATGAGTTGTCCCCCTTTCATTCTTGAAACAGCAATGCCTCTTAATCGTGTTTTCAAATTGATTTCGTGAAAAAACAATTGTGTTTTTCTAATTTTTGGCACTGTCAAAACCACCGCAAGGTAATTTTACGTAGTCCTGTGAAGTTTTGTTGAAATCGGTTGAAAAATGTAGGAAATCCAATCCAATATATAAACGAACACACACACACACAATCTGCGTTTTATAATAAGTATGATTTTCTAATTGTTCACCTAAATTGAATAGTATCCATAATTGTACATAATTAGGTTACAATAAAATTTGTATTTTATATGAATACTACCTTATGAAAATAGAGTTTTCGTAAAGTGGGTGGGGGCTGTATTATATTCAGTGAGGGCCCACAAGACCTTTTGTCCGATTTATATATATATATATATATATATATATATATATATATATATATATATATATATATATATATAATAAACCATTAATGTTTACTGTAAAGTCTTAGCTGGGATGGTTAGCGTTTCTTTTAGAAAATTCTTATATTATAGGTTGATTTGAAATTTTATTAACTGTTAAATTTTCAAAAATGTTCAAATTAAACACAGCCTTTATAAGTAGCAGCGTTTTTTTTCTTTTTTACACTAATGTTTACACTATACAAGGCGCAAGGACCACACAAGGTATAAGGTTACTGAAGGTGGTTTTTGTGTGAGCAGTAAGAGTAAGGGGGTGCAGTTTATGCAGATATGTGGAAAAGATAATAGTTAACCCTAGACATGAAGTGGTTAAAATTGTAGTAGTCAGAAAAAGCATCCTCCTGGGATACTGTTCCACAAAGCAACAGTTTTGGGGAACAGGCAATCAGTGGAACTTGCTCCTTACTAAAAAAAAAATACGAAAGGTTCACCTCAATGTATGCAGTGTGTTGGTCTTAGCTGGGAGGGTTAGAGTCAAGGGAACTAAGGGATGTAGCTTAGCTGAACATTTATCTTATCTTCCCTTTTAAAAAGGTCCTGTTTTTCATCTTGTGGAGTGACATGCCACCCTCCTCACCAGCAGAAAAGCTAGAGAAGGAGTCGCTTTAGTCATCAACTACTTGTCCATGCGGCATGTTGTACTGGGTTATATGTTACCAGTAGCAGTCCTAAGCCTTATCTGAATGGGCAAAAAAAAAAAGGAGAAAAAGATGTTTTTCAGTAAAATAATTTTTGAATATTTTTTATTATTTAGTTTTCCTACTGTATAAAGTGGTTTTTACAAAAAGTTTTTTTCTAAAAAAAAAAAAAAATATCCTGTTTTTAATTGATGGTTAACATCTAAGCACCTCTGTTTCATACACTCTTCCCCTGAAGACACAAAAATGAAATATCTGTGATTTTAATGGATTAAATCTGGATTACAAATTAAAATAATTTAAAAAATTAAAAAAATATTATAGTTGACTGTTAAATAGTTGGAAAATATCTAATTAATAATTTTTATTTTTAAAGTACCATATATTTTTGCATATAAGGTGATCTTTAGATAAGACAAGGTAAAAAAAAAATATAACAAATTTTCATGAATTTATTCTATACCTGTAGTATAAGACAACTGCTTTTTGATTATATAAAGATGTTATTGGAAATGTTACTTACTGTATCCTTAGAAATTAAAAATAAATAAAGTAACAAAACCGATTCTATATCAGGTTTTTCCTACACACATCCCCTAAAAGAAAAACCATTGTTTTGTTTACATTTCATAATGTGAACTCTTGTGAATACTGATTCTTCTTATTTCTCTTCTTTTCCTATATCTAAACAGTTTACAAACAGCCTGGTGTACTAATGACCATTTACTTATACTTTATTGAGAGTCACAAATAAAAGTTGTATGAAATCTTAAATTGTATTATTATTTGACACCAAAATGATAATAATTAAGACCAATTTTTAAAAAAATAAATTTGTAAGTTTCAAAATTCAAATACTGTATATTTTCACGTATAAGGTGACCTTTAGATAAGATGAAGTAAAAAGAATATCACAAATTTTTGTGAATTTATCCTATACCTGTAGTATAATGCAACTGCTTATTGATTATATAAAGATGTTATTAAAAATGTTGTTACTGTATCCTTAGAAATACAAAATAACAAAGCCAATTCTATATCATGTTTTTCCTACACACGTCCCCTAAAAGGGAAACCATTCTTTTGTTTGTTTCATCATGTGGTCTCTTGTGAATACTGATTCTTCTTCTTTTCCTATATCTAAACAGTTACAAACAGCCTGGTGTACTAATGGCCATCTGCTTATACTTCATTGACAATAACAAAATACTGTTAATAACAGTACAATAATAGTACATGTTTACATTTTCTTAGCTGAGCTTGCATGGATACAAGTTTATTTCATTGATATGGAATTATTCTTTGAATAGACAATTTATTAAGAAGTTATGTCAGTAATGTATAAGTTAGAAATGGTTTTATTACTTTTATCATCAGTTGGTAATGTGAATCTTTTCATGTATATTATTGGTTATCGTACTAAGGCCGAGGTTAGCCTACCAACAAACAACACTCAGAATTTAAGGTTTTTAGAATTGTAGTATAAGACAACCCCAATTTTTAAGGTGATTTTGGGGATTTAAAGGTCATTTTATATACAAAAATATACAGTAATTGTTATTGATGTTTAATATCAACCAAAATATCAATTTTTTTTTTTTCTAATTTTTCAGGATGTAAATGAGAAGAAAAGCATGAAATCTAAGATTGATGATTATGATATGAATGTCAGGGCCTTAGGATTGGAAGCCAGGGCTATGGTAAATATCTTCTTTTTTATTTCTTCTTTTTTATTTCTTTTTTTTTCTTTTTTTCATCTTTTTTATTTCTTTTTTTTCTTCTTTTTTATTTCTTTTTTTCTTCTTTTTTCTTTTTTCTTTTTTTCTTTTTTCTTTCTTTTTTATTTCTTTCTTTTTTCTTTTTTCTTTCTTTTTTGCTTCTTTTTTCTTTCTTTTTTCCTTCTTTTTTATTTCTTTTTTTCCTTCTTTTTTATTTCTTTTTTTCCTTCTTTTTTATTTCTTTTTTTTCCTTCTTTTTTATTTCTTTTTTTTTCCTTCTTTTTTATTTCTTTTTTTTCTTTTTTTTTTTTTTTTTTTTTTTTTTTTTTTTTTTCTTTTTTCTTTTTTCCTTCTTTTTTTTTTTTTCCTTCTTTTTTTTTTTTTTTTTTCCTTCTTTTTTCTTTTTTTTTTCTTTTTTTTCTTTTTCTTTCTTTTTCTTTCTTTTTTCTTTTTTTTTTTTCTTTTTTTTCTTTTTTTTTTTTTTCTTTTTCTTTTTTTTTCTTTCTTTTTTCTTTCTTTTTCCTTTTTTTTTTCTTTTTCCTTTTTTCTTTCTTTTTCCTTTTTTCTTTCTTTTTCCTTTTTTCTTTCTTTTTCCTTTTTTCTTTCTTTTTCCTTTTTTCTTTCTTTTTTTTTTTTTTTTTTTCTTTTTCTTTTTTTCTTTTTTCCTTTTTTTCTTCTTTTTCTTCTTTATTTCTTTTTTTCCCCTTCTTTTTTATTTCTTTTTTTCCCCTTCTTTTTTCTTTTTCATCACTCTATTTTGAAAGCAGTCATTTTGAATTTTCATCTTAAGTAGATCAAACCATGCTGCATCTTCAAAAGGCAACTTTTATGGGTGCAGTGAGAGCTGAGTACAGAATTTACATTATCTATATACAGACATTGCTTACATGGAACTAAAGCATTTAGTTTATGAATTTGGTGATATAATAATTGTGAATTCAATCTCCAGTCCAAGTAGTAAAGACTCGTACTCATTGGAAACAGGTAAGAGGATACTTGAAGAGTGTAGTTTAAATTTGAGAGACTGGCCTAAATTCCTTAGTAGGTGCTAATCCTGAGTGACAAAGTGTAGATGTTGTATTTGACATATTGTCTCGTCGTCTTTCGTACACTGCTTATTTATATTCTTTCAAATCTCGTGGTTGCCGTCATTTTGCATTAATTTGTCAGCATAAAAACAATATGGCTTCCCTATAAGATTCTTTTTACATATGGACGTCCATGAGGTAAGTTTTTTTTTTTTTTTTTCTTCAAACTACAAAGAGAGAAGTAATACTTCAGTTTTCTGCACTCTCCAAGGCCCACTAGAGGCATTAGTATATCATCTTAACACAAAGGAAAGAAGATTCAAACTTATTCAAAGAAATTAATTTTTTCTCTTATATCATTGTCCCATCTTTGGATTTTATGCAACCTGCTTATGACCATGTCTTTTGTCCTGATTTTTTTTTTTTTTCAGTGAGACTGTATTGCTGATTCTTTTATTGATAGTTATATAATCAATTTGGTTTTTTGTTTCTCCTCCTGGGCTTCTCCCTATTCATATAGTCTTGGACATTCTTGAAACCAAATGTTGGCTCATGACGTTAGACTGCAAGGCCTCTGATCAGGAGGTTTTGAGGAGCATGGAACCACCTCTTAATTGCTGGTGTTTCCAGGTCCACCCTGATCTGGGGTGGTAGCAACTGTTAGGGTCCCAGCTATGGGCAAATAGTGAACTCCCTAGTTTTTTCCAGACCTTACTCACGTCCTGGGTATTGTGATAAACTACATCCGCATCCTGGGTATAACGGTAAACTACGTCCAACAGCAAGGCCTCTGATAATGTTTTTGTAAAAATAATGTTACCAGCTATATGTTTTTGAAAAAATAATGTTGCCAGCTAAATGTTTAATAGTACTATATATTTAATATATATATATATATATATATATATATATATATATATATAAACTTAATTTGGCATTAAATGACCTACAGTGGTTGATATGCTATAAAACCCAACCAACCAAATGTTGGCTACTATCTGATCATTTGCCATCTACTATTGGACACATCTTTCTCTGCATTCGTTACTAGATTCTGGTCTAAATTCACCAACTATTTCGCTGTCTCCATCCTTGCTTACTTTAGCATTCAGGTCTCTTGTGACAATTATAATTTCTTGTGATTTGCATTTAGCTTAGGTATTATCTAGTGTAGAGTAAAACTTTTCAATTATAAATAAGGGAAGTCTTAAATGTCAAGCAGGGGTATCTGGCAGGCTAATGCTTACCCAGATTCCATAGACATTCAGTATTTGTATGGTGACTGAGGAAAAGGTTTTCAATGCTGTAATATTAAATGTGAATTGGGAGAGAGCTCTTATATGCCTTACAATCTGGTATTTTTTTAATGTTTGGGAACTGATAAAAAATTATACTGAAGAGAACAGGATAAGCCAAGTAGTTTTCATTATAACTGTTATTATAGGAACCATCACCTTCTGTGTGCCTAAGGAGTTGATATGCCGTTAAACAAATCAATTAATCTTCTTTGTGCCTTTTGGGATGTTGACAATCATGGTTCTCCACAATTTCTGGTCCTTTGTAGTGCTTAGTAAAGTTTTGTCTTTTTGCTATCTCTCCTAATCCCTTTTTTGCCAACCATTTACACAAACTTGTTCTCTTCTTCTAGGTGCAGTCACACTTCAGGACAATGGAAATTATGGCTCTCCACAATTTCCTGTCCATTATTGCTCTTAGTAAAGTTTGTCTTTTTGCCATCTCTCCTAATCTCTGTTCTGCCATCCATTTACACAAACTCGTTCTCTTCTTCTTCTAGGTGCAGTGGCACTTCAGGACGATGGAAATCATGGCTCTCCACAATTTCCTGTCCGTTATTGCTCTTAGTAAAGTTTATCTTTTTGCTATCTCTCCTAATCCCTGTTCTGCCAACCATCATTAGATAAGTAATCCACTGCTTTCCTCTGTTTCTCTTGCCTTCAATATATCAAGTTTTCTAAGCATTTTTTCCATATTATATTCTCTAGAAATTTCAGTGATCTCTTTCTGATGCTAATTATAAGTGTCCTTTTTATTTCCATTTTCTTTAAAAATTCCTTGTTGCTTACATGTTCGGTCCATGCTATTCTCAGCATCTTTCTATAGAACCTGCTCTTAAGTCTCTTCTTCATCTGTTAGGAGATTGTCTAGCATTCACTGCCATACTGATATTACATAACAGTTTATTACTCTTTTCTTTGTTTCTAATGAAATTTTCCTGTTTCTTAATACTTTGCTTAGATTTTGGAAAGCATCTTTCACTATTCCAATTCACTATTGGATTTTCATGTCACATTTTCTGTCCTTGGTTAAAACACTTCCTACATATTTAAATTTATGTACTTGCTTGATTTTGGTGTCTTCAATTTGTAATTTGCATGTTGCGCTGTAAGAACTTAAAATGTGAAGATTATTCTGCAAAACAAAATCATAATCTTTTTTTTTTTTTTTTGTTTTTTCCAGGCTACTGACAAAATGAAATCTGAAAAAGAATTGGCAAAAGAAGAAATGGAAAGATTGGAAAAACTGGAAGTAAGAATTTAAAAAGAAAAGTAATGGGGTGTCAAAAGATTTTTTAGGACATAAAAGACAGACATTTTAGAAGTATAAAACAATGGAGTGATAAAGCAAGGATAATGTGGGAAGGAGATAATTACTGTCAAGTGGCAAATCAGAAAAATATTAAGATATAACTAGTTATACATTGCCTCTGAAGAATGAGAAGTGATAACTGGTTAGCTCATTTTTTTATTTTCCATTTTTTTTTTTTTTTTTTTTTTTTTTTGAGGGGGGGGTCACCACTTGATGGTGAGTACTGTATATACTTGTGTAACACATTGTCTTGTATATCGTGGGCAACCGCCAAATTTTCAAAGAAATGATTTTATGTATCTCATGAATCATACAAGTTCCTTTTTCTAGAAATCAAATTACAATAGACTAACCTCTTTTCCTCTATCTCTTTAGCTCGTCTTTTAGTTGAATAAGTTAAAAAAATAAGAGAGAATGACAATAGTATCATTAGTAACGTTATACTCATTGTATAAACACATACAGCCATAAACAACTGAATGAGAAACAGCTAAACATCTTATAAACGTAAACAATGGAGAAGAAGTTTCCGATATGCAATGTATTTGTAGATGGAGCATGGGGACAATGCATTATGGTGAGGACATGGGCTGGAAGCAGGATGAAAAACAGGGAAGCCCTGGGATTATTACGGTGAACAAGTTGATCAGCCCGTGACTTTTTCCTCCTTGCTAGGATTCAGATATGTTTATTTTTATAATAACGTTGCGCAATGCATTACGATATTAATATGTGAATATTACATGCATTATTATTGGATACAGTTCAGTAAAACATCAGTTTTATTAAAATTATGTTTATTTTAAATATAGCTGTATTTTAGACTTCACAGATAAATGGATATACAGTTTGGTCAACTTGCCTTTTAGTGTAGCAACAGGGCCAGCAGTACATACGATAATTTTATATCTTTCATGTATGATGCAACCCCTTAAAATTAGCTTCAAAATTAGGTCTTTGAAAGAATCACATGATACACGAGATGAAGGGGTATATATGGTAATTCTTTTTTCAGAACTTATCTTTGCTCTTTTGGTTTTATATATATTGAACAAGTATTATAAAAACCAGGTAACGCATATATACTTATGCTACAAACTTGGGTGAATCTCGATATATCATGGAAGGACCATATGACAAAAGAAAGGCAGTTGCTATGATAAACTAACTCTTTATATCAGGCGTAATAAAGAAGAGCACAAAAACGAGACAGACACACAACCCAGGTAATTAAACACAGCTGGACACAGCTGAAGAACACAAACAGTGAGGGAGAGTTTATAAGTGATACACTACTCTAGAAAATGTCTCATGGTCATAACAACATTGGACAATCTTCAAAGACAGGCATTGACCAACTCACTCAAATAAGACATGATGATGAATTCTTTGTTTTTGATCCACAAATGCAGCAGCCAATTAACACATTGAAGATTTACTAAAATAACCTTTAATCATATGAAGATGCAAAACAATATAGGAGCTTCTTCCAAGTTTAGAACAAGCTGCATGATGCAACTGCTAGTTGTAGGATTTGTTGAGGGCGTGTGTCAAACACTGTATTGAAATTGAGTCTGTTCTGAAACCTGTGCAATTGGACGCAATGAGCCATCCTCGGGATTGGAAGACGTAGTGAACAACTATAAAAAACAACTGACCAACTATAAAACAACTATTTTCCAAGTCAATTCGGAATTTGGGAGGTTATGGGTAATGGCATTGTGGAACAACCACAGAAGCTCAACCTTGTTCATCTTTTTACTGGCATAATCACCCCTAAGGACAATGCAGAACTCAGGAAGGAACGACTGAAGTTTTACCAGTTGGGAGAGCTTGAATTTACAGCTGGTTAGTTTTCTTCATTAACCTCATAAACGTAAACAATGGAGAAGAAGTATATTAACTTATGTTTATATTTTATATGTCGATATTAATATGTGAATATTACATGCATTATTATTGATACAGTTCAGTAAAACATCAGTTTTATTAAAATTATGTTTATTTAAATATAGCTGTATTTTAGACTACAGTTTACAGTTTGGTCAACAGTGTAGCCAGGGCCAGCAGTACATACGATAATTTTATATCTCATGTATGATGCAACCCTCTTAAAATTAGCTTCAAAATTAGGTCTTTGAAAGTCACATGATACACGAGTATATATGGTAATTCTTTTTTCCTTATCTTTGCTCTTTTGGTTTTATATATATTGAACAAGTATTATATGGTAACTATATACTTATGCTACAAACCAATCTCGACATATCATGGAAGGACCATATGACAAAAGAAAGATGCTATGATAAACTAACTCTTATATCAGACGTAATAAAGAAGCAGACACACAACCTTGCCGGACACAGCTGAAGAAGTGAGGGAGAGTTTATAAGTGATACACTACTCTAGAAAATGTCTCATGGTCATAACAACATTGGACAATCTTCAAAGACAGGCATTGACCAACTCACTCAAATAAGACATGATGATGAATTCTTTGTTTTTGATCCACAAATGCAGCAGCCAATTAACACATTGAAGATTTACTAAAATAACCTTTAATCATATGAAGATGCAAAACAATATAGGAGCTTCTTCCAAGTTTAGAACAAGCTGCATGATGCAACTGCTAGTTGTAGGATTTTGTTGAGCAAACAGACTGTATTGCAAATTGAGTCTGTTCTGACAACCTGTGTTTGAGCCAGTTGGTGAGTGATTTATCAACCTGGACAATGCCCGGGTGATTTTTGCCAGCTGAGCAATGCTGGGTCTTTGGTTGATTTCATTTCCCCTCCTTTGGTTTGTGGGACATGAGCATTGGTTTAGGGAGCTTAGGCAAAGCACTAGGAATAGGGGTTGGGATCACAGGTGCTTCAAGCTTCCTGAGGAATCAGCAATTCTGTAAGGTGATTCTACCTGATCCATCAACCCTGACCCGGTATTGATGGTTAGGTAAAGTCTCAACACCAACTCTGTTGTGTTCCATCGATGATTGACCGGTGTATTGAGACTGTCTCCCTTTTTCGAGAGGGCACAGAGCATGCGCTGTGCAGTTGTACCTTTCTGTTGTACGGGCATTGCACTGAGACAGGCTCTTCTCGCGATTCTGAGCTGAGGCTATCCATCTGCGCAGGGGATAGCCCAATGCTCTGGATAGGCATGTTTCTGTATTGAAGGATAGCCTGTGTTGCCTGGTCATGTTTTTGATTCTATGCTAGTATGTTAAATGCAAAGAAAACTTAACTGCACTTGTGATATATTTACAGCAAATTTGGACTTTCATACCTGCAAAAAAACGGAGTGTCAAAAGGACAGTTTTTCCATTGATACTGCTATTATTTTAACTACCTTCACCCCTTAGCAATGTTTATTCTTTTAAAAAGTAATGATTAGTATTGTAATAAAACCTAAACACATGAAAGTAAATTTATATATTTTATTTGTCCTTGAGAATTAACAACAAAAATAATAAACACTTTATTAGATTATTTATTCACAATATTATATTGTTTATTGGAATGGTTGGCAAGATTAAGTGGATTGAATGTTCATAAAAAAACCATCTCATAGACAAAACAGCATTGCATGCTCTTTAAAGACAGAGTTTGACTCGCTTGCTGAAATTGCAATATGGATAAATTATCAACTATTATGTATGAACAGGAAGAATATCATCATGATATCAAGAAATATGAACAAGCTTAATACAATTTAATATTCTGAAACATCCAAGTTATTAGTGAGGAAAAAGGTCATTTTTATGCAATAATTTTTTTTTTCTCTTGTAGAAAGAACGTCTGCTACGTATGAAAGCACCATGGGAAGCCGAAAAGAAACAAAATCGTAAATACATGTCTGCTGATGCTCTTGGAGATGAACAGTGAGTATAAAACTAGAAACATTTCTGTGTAAACATACAATGCAACCCACATACAAGCTTACCACTGACTGGCCAATTATTACCCCATGTTGTATTCTGATTCTTGATCTTGTCGGTGTTCACCAAAAGCTGAGAAAAGGTGTGGTGCATACTCACGAGGTAACACAATGAAAGACATGTTGAGAAATAAGAACTTGAACCCTCTTTCTCATATGTAAGTGTTTTATTTAGGGTTTTACCTGCTCATCCAGGTGGGTAGGTACAGGATACTTGGGACAACTTCTGCTATGCCAGTTCCTACTCCTCCTACCAATTCTTCTCCCATCTATTCATCGTGGTGGGTGTCAATACAAAATGGAGACCTCAGAATTGTGTGGCGAACCAGAACTCTTCCCAGTCCCAAGCTTGAATTAATATAGACCCACACCCAGATATAATCTATTTCTGGTTTTCTTGCCACTTGATCTCCAAAAATCCCTTTAGTTCGTATTTCCCTTTGGTTATGCTGCTTAGAAGACCAAACTTCAAAAAGAACCATCTGCTGGCCTATCAAACAGAAACACTTGAGATCAAGATAAAACCACCTCTTGCCTTTCTATGTGGGTATCCATAGTGTCGCACATATTTTTTGATTTGATTTCAGCTTTTCTTGAAAGTTCATATTTTTTATTCTACAATCATTATAGTGTTTGTTTGTTTGTTTGTTTGTTTTTTTTTTTAGCAAAAAAATATTAGTTTCTTTCATTTTTACATTTTGGTTAAATCAGCAGCAAAAACAACACAATTTCTCAAACATCCTTAGGAGATAAGTAGATAAATTTCTTTTCCTTTTAAGTCAATTTGATTACCTCAATTTCTTAGGAATTTCATCTCTAGTCCATATTTGAATCAATTACCACAGTTTTCAGGTTTCCTGTCTCCAACCCACCTTTGAATTGGCAAACATAAAATTTTGTTAATGGCTATCTAAAACGATAGTCATAAAAGTAGAATCTTTTGAAAAATTGACCACCCATTCAGCTTTTGGGTGCTCTACTTTTCCGGAACACAAGTGGATAGATAGCAAAGGTGGGTTCCCAGCCAGTATCTATATAAGCAGAAAGAGGTAGAAAGTCATCATTAGGGACCAGCGAGCAGTGAGAAATTGACAGCCACCTAAGCAATCCACTTCTCGAAGCTGAAGGAAGAATACCAGAGTTAAATAAGAAATTGTATTGCTGTTTTCCAACCAATGTCTTGAAAAGCATTTGTTGTTATTCTTTGTTGTTATTCTTTGTTGAATTCAATCACGGCCAAGGAAACAAACCTATGAACATAGTGAATCAAGTGTATATGCAGACACAACCAACCTTGGATGTCATCATAGTTATGCAGTGAACAACGCAGTGAAGATGGATTCATACCTTTCCCAAGAGCATTAGTGTGAAGTGAATGAAATACAGTCAGAATTTGAACTTTCAAGCTCCGACCATTAACCTTTTATGTATTTTATATATATATATATATATATATATATATATATATATATTATAAACTTGCCTACCGAACGCTCCTTTGTGGCCGAGTCGGTTAAGGCACGTCAGTGTAAATATATATTTTTATATATATATATATATATATATATATATATTGGAATGAGCTAAACCAGAAGATATGAGCAACCATGTGTGTGTGTGCAATTATGTATGCATACAGGTGAGCAACTATTTAATTAAAAACAAATAACTATTTCATTTTTGTTTTAGAGAAAACAGTGCTCAATGTAGTTAAACAGAGCTATAAAGTATATATTAATAATTACACATATGCCTATGTTTATTATCTTTCCTTTGTTTTTTATGTTGTCATTTATTTTTTTTATTTTTTCTTCATTTTACCTAATACTTATTCCCTTTTTTTTCTTTATTTTCTTGTATCATGCTGTCTTTACCTCTTTTTCCTTTTGTAAATGTGCTCCCCTTAGAACACCTGTTTAAGTATTTTTTTCTATTTTAACAGATTCATATCCCAATTAAATTTATTGTTAATAGCTTATTTTCTGATACCTACCTATCAACGCTCCATATTTTGAATTTATACCCCAATACTATATTATATTTATAATAATCTTGAGCTATGAATCCATGTATAATGTAGTGTTGCTCCCATGAGACTCTGAATTTAAAAAAAAAAACAACTATATTAAACAGTTCATAATTTTTAGTATCTGATGAATGGGAAAACCATGAAACTCCAAACGTAAGGATACATGTAATTATTAATATATGTATATAGATCTTTGTTATATACTGTACTTATGAACACTAATAGGGTATGTCCCAATGCTCATAAATACATTAGATACTATTGTAAGTGGGGAGTAATATGTTGTCTAAGTAGTAGCAGTGGTTTACCTACTTCATGCCCATCCTGGCATCCTACGTCCAACAGCAAGGCCTCTGATCAGGAAGTTTTGAGGATCGTGGAACCACCTCTTAATTGCTAGCATTCCCAGGTCTGCCCTGACCCAGGGTGGTAGCACCTGTTAGGGTCCCAGCCATGGGCAAATAGTTGACACCCAAACTTGTGTAGAAATAGGTTTTAATACCAGAAATACTTTGTAATAAAAAAAAAAAAAAAAAAAACTTTTGAAGGAAAAATTATCATCAGCAATACAAATAGCTATACATTCTTTGAAAAAGATATTACCAGCTATAGATTTCTTCAAGGAAAAATTTTCCCAGAAATAGATTTTTGAAGAAAAACATATTACCAGCAATAAAAAATTTTGTCGGCATTAAATAACCCATTGAGGTTGATATGCCATAAAATAAATCAAACCTACTTCATGCTGCTGGTGAGTATTGCATTTTGTTGATGTTATAATGATTACCATTTCATTTCCAACCTCAGTTTTGGTTATTCATCATTCAGTAACCCTTCCTGGGTTACAACAATTTTTATTTGTATGTGTGGTTTACAAATTCAAGTGCCCTTTGGGAGATTGTATCTCCAACGAATTAAATAATATTTATGTTGGTCACACGACAAACTCGCTTTCATGACGCTTGACACTACATTTGAATGAAAACTCTAACATTTTTAGGCATTTAAAACAACATCACTGGCCGCAAACACAATTCCGTAAAATCCTTGTTGAAAACACAATTATACTTAAACATGAAAACAATAAACAAAAACTAAAAATTCTTGAAGCTATATACATAAAACAGTTGAAACCTAAACAAAATAAACTATGAAATCTCCACAAATATTCTTAAATGTCTATAATTGGTAACAGAAGTCATTGGTTTATACCAATGGCTTCCCATACTTAATACTTCTTGAATTCAATCTCGCGTGGTCATGTGTGACATCATTAGCTGCGGTGCGATTTTTGCTTCCAGTGTCTTATATGCATGTGTTTATCGTTGCTTGGAAATCGTCCATGTAAACAGAAACAGACTATCATCACAGTGTTGTCTGTGTATTGCTTAATATATTGTACAGTAATTGTCATCTTTGATAATGGCTTATGTAAGCTGAAAGCTTAGATTGGATTAAAAAATATGTATCAATATTGTGATTTTCTTTCTTCGTTTAATGATAATGTTATTAAGCTTATTAGACATTATGAAAAGAATTTACATAAAATAAATAGACAACACTTGTCTATATTATTTAATGAAACATATATATATATATATATATATACACTCACAATAAAGATTTACTAGATATAATAAAGAAACTTAATGTGGAAACTACCATCGAATTCACATGTGAATTTGAAATAGACAAATCTCTACCTTTCCTTGACATCCTATTAATACAAAAAAATAAACAAATTAGATTTTAGAATTTACTGCAAACCCACTAACAAAAACATTCTTATTAATTTTTATTTCCACCACAGTCCAAAATATAAAAGCACTTGTAGGATTCTACCTCAGAGACTTTAGACTATGTAACCTGAAATTCCTAGGTGAAGAAGAGAAATACATTGAAAAAAAATTTAGACTTCTTCACTACCCACATCATTTCAACCTCAATGTTAGAAAACAGGAATACAAAATCCACAAATTCCCCAAAAATTAGACACTGCCAATAGCACTTCTAACATCAACAACGCAAAATTCATAATCCTACCCTCTAGCACTATTTATAAAATTTGAAATTAATATAGTTATCCCCAATGCTAGGGCCTTTACCACCACGTATAAGACAATCAGAGATATAATTAGCAAGAAAAATAAATCTGACACCATTTCAGATGCTGGGATTTATCAGCTAAAGTGCTTATGGCACAGTGGACAAAGGTGTTGGTTAGATCCAGTAACAGGACCCAAAAGAGTTGTGAGTTCAATACCTGGTTAAGGCAGTGGAGAACTAGTGAATTAACAAGAGATAACTGATAACTGACATCCATTAGACATGGCACATGGAACTAGAACAGTCTACCCCAGTGAGCGAAATAAAGAGTTCAGTTTGACATTCCAACCAGCTGAAGAAGGCCGGAGCGTACAACGGCCAAAACGTGATAAATATGGCAACAAAGATGAGGATAATAGTCTGAATAATGTAAATAGTGTACATAATACCTCATCTCAGAAATATAGACAAATACTAAAGCGCTTTCAGTGTAAATGCACTTATACTAGAGAAACGTCTTGAAGTCTGCATCTGGGAACACAAGAGGGACTTACACTGAGACAACCATTTAAACTCACTTGTAATGCACATAAACAAAATTCACCATAACATTGATTTTAGAGATGCCACCCTAGTTAACAAAAAACAAAAGAAAAACATAATTCTTTGTCAAAAATACTTTGAGGGAATTCTGATAAGTTTTATCAACTATACACAAACATCAGAAAAATCATATTACATCATTGACCTTTATTAAATCCATTCTTAAGGAATCTATCATATAAATCTAACTACTATGACCAATGTTGACATTAAAATGTCCCCAGATCAAGATGCAGACAACTTCCAAACATAAATAATGTACTAGACACATACACACATATTCTCATCTGAATCCTGCATAGACAAATGAGAATTATGATACACTTACACACACAAATTATACTTACAAATGCTGCTTGACTAGTCAAATACACATGAAGTCTGCTTAACCAATGAAAATCAAACACAAAAATACTAGAATTTTTTTTCCCCCCATATTTCATTCTCTGATGAAGTTTTAATAAAAGCGAGACATGTTTGATTTATAAACATTTCCTATTTGTTCTTTATCCTAAAATTGTGAGATTTCAATCTATATTTGTTCTGTATTTGATCCTAATAATTCATATATTTATATATACTTTCAAAATGATTGTTTTTAAGATTCAATAAGGTTTAAATTTAATTGATTTTATTTTTCTTAGGTTTCTGATTCCTATTTTGAAAGAAAAATCTAAAAACGGCGGGAAAAAGAAAAGCGTGAAGTTTGAAGGTGACAGTGAAGATGAACAGAATGAAGATGAAGATGAGGAAGAAAAAGATGAAGAAGATGAGGATGAAGGAGGAAAAGAAGAAGATGAAGAAAATGATAACGAAGAAACAGAAGAGTCAGGTATTTAACATCTTTACCTATGTAACAGGGCAGTGACTCTGTAACAGTGTAGTATTAGTGCCTGAAAGATGACAGGACTGGTGAAGAAAATGAATGACTGAAATAGTCACACCAAATTTACGCATCCTTCATTTAATGTATTTTTGGGGAAAACTTGAACTTTCATGCCTGCAAAAAAATGAGGAATTTACAACAAAAATATTAAACAATATTTATTAGATTGTTTATTTACAAGAATAGTTTTATAATTACAACATTCTAAAAACTAATACAATATTTATCACCAGCCAATTCATAAATATGTAAACAATTTTTTATTCATAAATCTTTTTCTATAAAAGGCAGGAAGTGTGTGTGTGTGTGTGTGTGTGTGTGTGTGTGTGTGTAACGAATGCATGGCTGCAATTTTCGATGGATTTGCACCAAAATTTATTGGGGGGGGGGACTCCTTCTTGCAAACCTGAAACAAACGCCTTCTCTTCCGAACGGACACTTTACGACAGCAAATGAGCAAACGGCACCCACAACTGCTGCCGACGAATGGACAACCGACTGCAACAGCTTTTGTCGCCCAAAAAAGACCCCAAACGACTCACGCGTCTTGTAGTCCTAGGTCGAGTGCATTATATTACTCCAAGATGTGCCCAGCGAAAACACACACACGCAGTTCGAGGACGCTTCCGCGTATGCTCATTACAAGACTTAGTACTGGGGGTACATTCATAATCTATTGGATTTGGATGTTTTATCAACAAGTTGAAAAATGTTAAAATAAAAATTTTTTTCTGATGACTAGGAAATATACAAGTTAAAAAAAATAACAAGAATATAAAACATTTCATTCATCTGAACAAACCTTCGAATGTCAATGACTCTTCTAAAAATTACAGAATGTATCCTTGTATATCTAAAGATGGCTATAAAATGGATTGACTGATTTGTTATAGTTTTGCAGGTTATTTAAAGCCAGAAAATATTTTTGGATTGTAAAGATTATTTGGAGATAATTATTTACTGATATAAGTTGTACTATTTAATCCTTAACTGGTGGTATTAGGTAGAACACCGTGACAGTGGCCAGTATTCAGAACGACTTTTGGAATGCTAATGAATCCTCTGAAAAATTAGAGGAAGTATTTGTATGTCAGAAAAAGGCTGAAGAATAATTATGTAAAACAGTTGCAGTAAGAACAAAACAAAAAATGCATTAATTACTCCAAACAACTCTTGGAATGGCATTGACTCTTTTTAGAATTATTCATTCACCAAAGTTAAGCAATATAGAACCTGGCTGATACTTAGATGGGGAACTGCTCGTGAATACCAGGTTCTGTAAGCTAGAATGTGCAGGTGGTGTAATGGATAAGAGCTAGCCGAGTTCATTATATTACGTGCAAATACCTTAAGGAAAGGCAGTCCTGGGTATGATGATAAACTACATCCAACAACAGGACCTCATGTAATTGGGGGTTTTGAGGAGCATAGAACTACCTCTTAATCGTTATTGTCCCTAGGTCTATACTAACCCAGGGTGGTAGCACCTGTTATGGTTCGAGCTATGTTTAAATAGTGAAACCCCAAACAAAAACACTATGAAAACATAAAAATATATTTTTATAGTAAAATTACCAGCAATACATTATATTGTAAAATGACCAACAATACATATTTATAGTAAAATTAGTTTAAAAGCTGCCCTATCGGGCGGCATTTAAACTCACTCATGCAGAAGGCTCATGATTGGGCCTTCATCACAACAAGCAGGGAGTAGATGCAATAGGCAACAATAAACTACAGAACTCAAAATTGATTGCTGTATTTAAGTATTTCATTAATATCTTAAGCTTATATTTTAAAAGATCAACGATAATTCTCCTGCCACCACTTAATTTAAAAACAGTTTGATGTACTTAGGTCCTTATCTTCCATACAATCAATTATTTTATGGGTGACTTTTGCTGGATTTTGCAATTAATTTTGATTGTTGCCAAATTTATTTCCAAGTTATAAATATTGTTATCATACAAAAAAGATTGTTGCAAAAAATCATGAAAAAAAATTTCTGAAAACTATTGCAGTGATGACAACTTGGGAATCCAAAATTTCAGAATTGTGGCTCCGGATATGGCCTGGAATATTTTTAATTTGCTCATGGAGTTGGCCTGATTCCAAAATATATTGGGCTATAGCCTCGATGAGTAAAGTTGAAAAAAGTATTTAGATTTCAGCATTAAATAACTCCTATATGCCACTAAACAAAATCAACCAACCAACCTTGGGAAAGGTATGAATTCACGTCTTCTGTCAGCTATGGATTAAATAGTAGCACTTGTAACATAGTTATCTGCAAAAAATTCTTACAATCTAAAAATGTTTCAGCTTAAATAGCCTTAAAAGGGTTGATAATCTGTAAAAAAAAAAAAAAACAAACCTATCAATTCTCAGAATTAGACAGAACCAAATAATAAGATTGTTTTGAGAAATTCTACATTAGGAGAATGTTGTCATGTGGATTATTTAATTTTTATTTTAATTATGCAGATGCCGAATCTGTTGAAGATTCTTACAGTGATGTTCTAACTGATGAAGATGACAATGTTAAGGCAGAAGAACCAGAGACAAGTGATGAAAAAGAAGAAAGTGAAGATGAAAAAGAAAAGAAAACGAAACAAAAAGAGGAGGTATGATTTTAAAGATTTTCTTAGAAAAATTTAGAAAATAACAACATTCCCTTTCATAAAAGGTGCACAGTCTTTCTTTAATTAGTAAAACTTGTATCACTAAAATCATTATCATCTCCAAAAAATAAAATTGCATATGAAAATACTAAGATTTCAGCATTAAATAACCATTAGAGGTTGATATGCCACTAAACAAAAACAACCAAATATTTCTTTAAGATCGATAGCTGAAAAAAACAAATCAGTCAACCATAAAAATTATTTGTATGGCATGATTTTATATGCTTGAATTCCAACATTGCATGAACTGCTTTTAATTACATAATAGAAAACCTAACTTCTTTTTTTTTTCATGTTATTTAAGATAGACATATCATTTCAGAATAAATTATTTTGAATTTTAAAAACTGAGTATTTTTCTTGAATCCAGAGGCTAGCTGCAATCTCAGAGGAAGCTAAGAAACAACTGCCATTTACATTTGAAGGTAAGAGTTTATATATATATATATTCTTACAATACAAAGCCTGTTTATTTATAACCTTAAGTAACCAACAAAATGTTGATAATCATTAAAAAATACTCATTAACTAATACAGTATTCTGGATATTTTTTAAAGTTTTAAAAGATTTTCATTTTGAATTTGTAGGAGAAAAAAATATTTCCTTTCTTGTTTTTTTTTTTAAAACTTCAGTATGCAATCAGCTTTTTTTTAAAGAATTTTTACCATGAATTTATATTCTTTCTACAGCGCCAACCACATTTTCCGCTTTCCTGTCACAATTAGATGGCTATTCTTCTGATGATCAGATCACAATAATTGAGCGAACACAAAAATGTACTCATCCCAGTTTAGCTGAAGGAAACAAGAAAAAATTGGAGGTAAAATAGTCTCTCTTTTGTTTACTCTATAATATGAAATTCAGTTAACCTTTCTCACTCTATATGTAACTTCATTTACTGTACAAAATGTTTATTCTGCCACTGAAGGTGACTCTGATCCCTGAACAATAGTGTGTTTGAATTTCATAGTTGTGTTGTCATGGCAACAGAAAACAACTTTAAGTGAAATTAACAATAAGGCTATTGCAATTGAGACACCTTGAAAAAGAATGTAGTGGAAAGGGAAATAATACTAATAATGCAGAGTACTAAAGATTAAGAAGATGTGTAAAGGTTTCATTGTTATCAATATTAAATGTATGATGATTGTAATGTCTAGTGAATGAGGTCATGTCAACATCCAAATATTTGTTCTCAAACTTTTTCTAACTGCCACCTCCTTCACTCACAAGCTTCACACCCTAACGCCCCCTCCCCTACCTGTATGAAGATATTTCTGTGTTGATATCAAGTGAACTGCACTGTAAAATGAATCCAGGAGATAACAAGTTTATTGATCAAATGTGGGGACATGGAAGACATCAAGACTGACATGGCAAAGGCCAGGACTGTTTTTGGCTGGTTTATGCAGGTGTAGAGTGCAACCTAATTAAGCAGAAGCACTAAGATCAGGTTTTATAAAACTTTGGTCATCACTGTCCTGTTATATATTTGTAAAACCTGAAAAAGGAATAAACTTGTTAACCTAAGGTGGTGACATAGAAGACATCAAGGCTAGAGTGACAATGATGGCCTGGGTGGCTATTGGCTGATTTATGCAGGTGTAGAATGCAACTAAGGTAAGCAGAAACACTAAGATCAGGTTTTATAAAACATTGGTCATCTCTGTCCTATTAGTGAGACCTGGAAAATGGATTTGGGAGATAACAAGTTTATTGACCTAAGATGGTGGCATAGAAGACATGAAGGCAAGTGTAACAATGGATAGAGTGGCTTTTGGCTGATTAATGCAGGTATGGAATAGAACCAAGATAAGCAGAAACACCAAGATCGGGCTTTATAAGATATTGGTCATCCCTGCCCTATTATATTTACCAGACCTGGAAAAGGAATTATGGAGATGAACGGCTTGTTGACTTATTTCATAACAACAACAAAAGATCCTCAAGCTTAGATGGCAAAATTGCTCTAGCATGTCTTCAGCATTATTCAAGGTATGGGGAAGATGGCTGTTTATTGGCCACACTTTAAGGCAAGACCCAAACAGCTTTAGAAGAATCCTCAGGATTAGATGCCAAGACTATGTGAAGAAGGCACAACTGCTCCAGTATGTTTCCATATAACTTCTTAGATATAACTTGCATTGTAAGTCAAGATCCAAACAATGACTGACCTGGCCCCTGAAGTAAAAAGAAGTGGGAACACCAAGAACAGCATGACAAAGGATTGTGGAGAAGAAGGAAGCAATGGGCTAGTAATCCTGGCATGAAGTGTAAGTGACAGCTGCAGACAGGGCAGAGATGTTTTGTCGGGGTCTTATGTGCCATGAGGCACCTGGCAGACAGATATACTGCAAATTCAAAGCAACAACAGATCTTACACTGTAAACACATATTTCAGCATTTCTTAGATGCCATTAGATAAGCAGTTACCAGAAAAATGTCTGTGGCTATATCAGTACAACTACAAACCTAGTTGCCCAATGTAATGAGACTGACCACAATTTTGACATAAAAAATGCTACTCTGATCAAAGGAGAAAACAATTCTCTACGATGGCGAAAATGTCTAGAGAGTTCCTTGATCACAAGGTCATTCGCAGTAAATTTGCAACATTTCACCATTCCTGACAGAATTTCTATTACAACAGTGTGGGATATCTACTAACAAAAATGATAGGAAAAGACTCTAAATGAATTTGGCTAGATAAAAAATAAAAATAAAAAATTTTAAATTCCCAGCATCTCTCGTTTGTGCACATGTGTAGTCGCACCAACATAACAAATTTAGTCTAATGAAGTCATAAAGGGCGAAACTCATCACCAGAAAACTTTTTCCACATTGTCATACATTTTTACCCAATATTGTTTTTGATATATAAAATATATATATATATATATATATATCCGACAGTATGAAGAAAAATATATATGGAAAAAACAAACAAAAATCCTTATATACAACTATTAACATTAAAACAGCATAGTTGTATATAAGGATTTTTGTTTGTTTTTTCCATATATATTTTTCTTATATAGGATTAATTTGACAATTATTTGATATATTTTCTGTTTATACATTATTTTTATAGACACAATTTATTTATGTAAATGCTCTGTTTTTTTTAATTAAACAGTATTAATCACATTTATTTTTAGTGGATACTCATATTTGAGTAGATGCTCCATTTATTTATTAAATAGTATATTTATTTTTGCCTACTGGCCTAAATGTTTGAGAAATCTTTGTTTCTTTTAAGTTTTTTGCAGTGTTTATAACTTCAAAATCTTTGTTTTTTCTTTTTTCCAGAAACTATTTTGTTTTGTGCTGGACTATTTTTGTGAACTATGCAACAAACCTGACTCTGATCTTTGGCTTCTCGATCGACTCACAATCCAATTATTCCAATTGACAAAAGTTTCTCCCAAAAGTGCTGCACAAGCAGTTTTAGCAAAGATTAAAGAGAGACAATCCAATTTCAACAAAACATATCCAGATATGGACACAGTAAGCATTTCTCTTACACTTTTTTTTTTATTGTTGTTCTTGTCTCTGATGTTCTATATATCCAAAGAGGTGCTGAAAAATTCTTGGCCAAATCTCCTTCCAAAAATCATCAGATTCTTGGCCAGGCTCATCACTCCTCATTTATGTTATGTCTGTATACATGTATGAGAATTTTCCATGTCTTTTTCAATCTTTTTTAAAAATTGAAAAAAAAAAAGTTTACTGCCCACTATAAAATCTGGTATTACTAATAAAAATTAAAATAATTATTCCGTATTTATTATGGGTTTAAAAAAAAAACAAAAGATGCAATGAGGGATTTCAGTGCTCAATTGGTGAAAAGCTGTGAAGGGGCCCCATTGTATGTTTGCACCATCAATTAACTTAATTATATTTTTGTGTAACATGGCATGATGGAATAATGCGTAGTGGCTCAGACTGAGGAATTTGAGAGCCAAGTTCAAATTCCAGTCGAGTTGGTTACATTCACTTACGTGCAAATACACTTGAGAAAGGTGTGAATACTTCCCTTCTCTCCCCAACCTTGGTTACAATAGCAGAACAAACTGTGTCCAATAGTCGTGGGGGTGGGTAACTAGTCTAGGAAAAGGAAACTGAATTCAAGCCACCTACTGCCTCAGAGGTCCTGCCTCTTTAGACAAAGGCTAGAAGGAGGTAACTTCAAAAAACAAATCCACCTTTGAGAGGAATTATAGGGTAACCTCAACATCCCCGGTGAAAAAGGAACCAGCAAGTCATTGCACTATTCTGCCTTGAATGTCACCATGAACCATAAATGTGTGATGGAGGGGAGTGGTGACCACAGCGGTGACACAAAATGCGCTAACTGAATAAAATGATGATTTGAAGTATTGAGAGACTTAGTAATTGTAAGTGAAGGAATACAGATATTAGATAGAGAAGAATATGGGAAAAAGGATATTATGGTTTTGGTTTGATGAAAAAAAGCCCTGTTTAAAAATATTCATTTGAACTTATGAGGAAGATACTTGCGAGGAAGGTACCAGGAAGGTTTGAACGTAAAATAAACTAAGTAAGATTCAGTAATATACAGTATAACTGACATTCTTTGCCTAAACCCACAGCCCCAAGAAAGTAGCAATGACATGATTAATGAATTTTTTCTGCAAAACTCTGGTGGAATTGAGGACGCTATCCAACAGAATTTATGTACAATCCTTACCAAAATGTCTGGTCTTGAGTATTTTAGAAGCATGGGTCACATTCAGTGCTAATCGGAAGTTCTTTGTTTAACAAAAGATCTGGCTGATTGAAGGGGAAAGCTGATCCATGAAAGTCATAAAAGTAGCAGAAGTTGTTCAAAATCTCACCCACTCACCTACCTACCTACCTACCTACCCAGATGATGCAAAAAAGAATCAAAATGGAAGCTAGGTTCAAGTTTTCATTTCTCACTGTGGCACTAATTACAACCTTTTGTTTCCTTCTGAATGTTTCCAGTTTTTGTGCATACCAATAAAGATATGAATAGAGATGTAATGTGGGGGTTATTTATCCAGTCAATGAAAAGCTGAGAGAGTGAGCTTTGTTGTTATATTTACACTGTATATAGAAATGAATATTTTAATTGGAAAAAGAAAATTGTCTTATGCACAAATTTGCTTAAATTCTTTAATGTTAACAACATTCTCACAAAAAAAAAAAAAACCCCAAAAATCATTCTCAATTGTGCATATATGAAACTAGAATCAATGAAACTATAAAAAGTTGGCCTCAGTTTCCAGAGAGAATGAAAAAAAAACTTAAAGAACCTACCTTAAGATAAAAACTAATCAGTAATCCAGATTTGGAATTCCAAGATAGAAAAAACACCTAGAACAGAACAGGAATACAATCCATGACTAAGGGAAAGATTTGAGTTTCTTTAAAAGTATTGGAAGATTTTATATAGATATTATACTTGACTCTCCCGTCGAATTTGACATATGAGGGTCAAGCAGATCAGTTCCTAGGATACTGACAGCCCGACAACAGCACATGAGATTTGATTAGAGTGGTGAAGATTTTGTGCAGGACCATTCACACTTTTTGAAGGGCTGAATATAGAGACCTGGTGCACTACGTGTCACAAGGTCCCCAAATGACCCTCCACAGGTTTTGAATTCAGAGTTGTCCTTCTCCTAGACCAGTTGCCATCCAAGGCTATAGAACCCAGTCTGTCCTGCTATTTACCCATAGCTGGAGGGAGAAGAAGAGGATTCACACCTTTCCCAAGGGTATTAGCACGTAAGTGAATGTAGTGGATTCGACTGGAATTCGAACTTGGCTCTCCGATTCCTCAATCCAAGCTGCTATACATTACTCCACCGTGCCTTTTCAAATATATATATATATATATATATATATATATATATATGAACAGCAATCTTTCTTTTATGTACATTTCATTGTATGTGACAGACAAGAAAAATTCTGTAAGTTTTTTATTCAGTTTTTTTAGTATCATTAGTTTTTCTTCCATATAGACTAACAGTGTGCTTGAGACTATGTACAGGTCAGTGCCATTAAGCAACGTGCCAATAAACCACGATGTTGCTTAAGCCATGCATGCTCTTGATGGACCCCAAAATCTTTTGTCATGTTCATATTAGAATCAAAATCATCAGTGAATGCCAACTTGAAACAAATTAAAACTTGATTGTGACACTTTTTAAAGTCTGATTTTTTCTGTATAATCTTTTATTTTAATAAATTCATTAAATTGAATTTAATACATTCAGCATATCTATTTTCTGAGGCATTTACTATTGTTTAGGCTTTGACATTTCACACTCACGATTGTTGTTTAGTGGTTTGGATTAGCACTTCATGGAAATTTTGAGTGTGAAATATGCAGCTTACAGCCTTTATCCTAAAGAGAAAACAACAACAAGAAGTAATTCTCCATTATTGAATTTCTTAAATAAAGTGTTATTATGAACTTTATTTTTATTTTCCACTACATACATGTAAATTTATTAAAAATGTTGTTTCGTATTAATTTCATAAAATTTGTATTGTATCATTACATTGCATAGAAATCTGTGCTTGTACATAGATGTTACTACATTGTATTGTTATATTATTTTTATTAACACATTACAATACAATGTATTGTAATGTTTTTATTCAAAATCTTATTAAAACTATAAAAAAAAATTAATTTTATTTTTTTTCTTGTTAAAATCTCGTGTGTATGAGATTTCCACCATCTTTTGCTGTCATCAATGTTGGATCTATTGACATGGTGCTTTATAAATGGAATCATTTTAGGCCATTGTCTTTCAAATTTATTCACATTGGTACAGATTTTTATGTGAAATTAAAGGATAGTTTTAATAAATGTTTTTCAAAACTGTCAATATTTGATTCTTAGTATTGAATACATATTTTACATGCTTAGCCACTGTGTTACCCATTTTCACAGATAACTCCATGGACTTGATAAGCTTAGTTTTGGTGGACTAAACTGGCAATCTGCACATCACAGCTCACTTTTGATCTAAACCACTGACCATCTAAACTGCAGTTTTGGGCCGCAACTACTGCAGTTTATTGTCACCAACATCTATCTATCTATCTATCTATCTATCTATCAAGAAATATAGTTTTAAGGTGTGCTATATTTATGGGATAAAGTGCTTAATATCAGAGATAGAGCGTATGTAAATATAAATATAAAAGTGAACATTGAAGTCAACACTCAGAGGCGACGGGCTGTCTCATGCTAGACGCAATTGTCAGGCCTGACAATTGTGTCTAGCATGAAACAGACTGTCACCTCTAAGTGTTGACTTCAATGTTCACTTATACATATAAGTATGGATGGCCAGTTTATTTAGAATTTTAGATAAGCTATATATGGGAGCAGTATATAACTTATCTAAGACTCTAAATAAACACATTCAACCATACTTATCTAATAAATATAGTGTTAGTCCGACCAACAATTTCTTTCACACATATGCGCATGCACACACACACATATATATTTGAACAAATCTTTCTGAAGAAGTGTTGGAAAAAAATGGTTCCTTTTAGAGAAAAAGCATTTGTTCTGTCATTTTAAAAACTTGTTTGTGTGTGTGTATATATAATATATATATATATATATATATATATATATATATATATAAGAACAGTAAGATATATAATCCGGTGTTCTTATAGATATTTGTATTTTTACAAAATGGTGCTCAATGTAAATTTACAGAGCATTAATATTATAAATTAATTGATTTAAAATATGTTTTTTTTTTTTCGCTACACAGTTCTAACCATGTTTCAAAAATGGAAGCTAAAAGCCCCGAATTTAATTTTGTAATTAAATTAAAGACATTAGTTCCATTTCATCCTCAAGCTAATTCACTTGAGGATGAAATGGAACTAATGTCTTTAATTTAAGAAACTGTAACTAAGGTCTGCTCAGCATAGTTGCAGTATAAACCACAGGTGGGCTCTGTGAGTGTTGAGCAAGCACAAATGTGCCTGAGTGAGCGTCTGCTATAGGGATTAGCTAGCTGCCCTAGTAGATGAGTATCCTCGAATATGAGTGGCCAGCTATTATTTTATATATATATATATATATATAACAGATTGTTAACGGAAAAAGCAACCAGCAAAAACTCCTGCATCCTTAATTATGATAATGAATGCCTACAGCAATTTAAAATTGCACTGATATAATCTAGAACCCACCTAACCCTTCTTCCTGGAAAATATTTTTCCCCAAATTCGGTTATATGAAACAAACATTGGTTACCAATAATTTTCACAACTACATTATTGATAATATAAGATTATTTCTACAGAAATTAAACTGCGCCAACATGAAAAAATATATTACAAGAAAACATTAGTATATGCAACAAAAACTGAGCAACAAAACTTGCTCCACCGTCTTGTATATATGGTAATTGAAGACAATCAAAGGGACATAACCCCCACCATAACTGATGCGGCCACCTAAAAATTAGCTGCAAAATTAGGTCTTCAAAAGTCACGTGATAGGATATATTTGAAATGTATTGTAATAAATATAAGACATTAAAGCTAGTCTCCCACTCCCATTATCATTTCTTTACTCGGGTATTTTCAGGCAAATAATATAGAATTATTATGACTTTTCAGTTATTATGATTTTGTTCAGTTAGAATTTATTGACTTTTCTTTTGTCTTTCAAACAGCTGATGCTCCTAAAACTAGTTCCTATCCTTTTCCCAGCATCTGACTTCCAGCATCTTGTGTGCACCCCAGCCATGCTTTTCATGGGGCAGATACTGTCACAGGTGAGCACAAACATTTGTCTTTTAAGATTTAATTTTCGTTCCATTATCTTCTGCTGTCTTCAGATGACTTCATAGCTTCATCTACCTAAGACCTTTTTTTTTTATCTTTCTCAATAAAGAACTACTTTAGCACTAATTAGGGTCCCAACTTTGGGCAAATAGTTAACCCCACCAAACTGGGGTTAAAACGCAATGAAAGTATAAAAATACAAGTAATACCCTTTCAGTAAAACAATTACCAGTGAAAAAAAATATATATTTCTAGCAATAGTATTTTTTTTTTTTTTTTTTTTTTAAATTACCAGTAATAATTTTTTTTTTTTTAAATTACCAGTAATAATTTTTTTTTAAATTACCAGTAATAATTTTTTTTTTTTTAAAATTACCAGTAATAATTTTTTTATTTTAAATTACCAGTAATAATTTTATTTTTTTTTTTAAATTACCAGTAATAATTTTTTTTTTTTTTAAATTACCAGTAATAAGTTTTTTGTTTTTTTTTTTTAAAAAAAAAAAATAGACTAAAAACAAACAGCAATACATTTTATAAAAAAAACATATTACCACCAATATATTTTTGTAAAAGAGATTATTAATGCTTCCAAGAAAATAACATTTCAGCATTAAATGACCCATAAGTGAATTGATAAACAAACAAAAACGATGGTTCAGATAATGTACAGAGAATTCCAAACGGAACACTTTATTAAATCTCCAAGGGTAGACTGTTCTCATTCCACTGCCCATGTCTAGGAATATCTCATCTAGTTTTTACTTTTATTACTGCTCGATTATTGCTTGCCCTATTTCCACTGAGTCCAAATACACACTGCCTGGCTCAGTAGATTGAACCATAGTCACCAAATAATAGTTCAAGCTATATGATGTTGGGACAATTTCTCTACTAAATTATAACAAATTTTGTCTCATCAACAAAGTATAATGAAACCTAATATTATCTTCATGGAATCATTTGCTTCCTTTGAATGAATACAAACTAGAAGTTGCATTTATACCAAATACCTACCATCACCTTTCTTCGTTATGATTTATGGTTATTATTGGTTCATTTTGCTTTCTAATTGGACAACCAAACAGAAAGGAATATGGAAAAAGTTCTCTACCTGACCAAGAATCTCTTCCCTCCCCAACAAAATATCTGATATTTAGTTATTTGGTTAGATTTTGAAAAAGGGGGCTGAGAACTTTTCTGCACTCACTCATATGAGGCAAAAGTTGTGCATCATAATTAATTTTGTTTTAATTCTTATTGGATTACATGTTTAATGTTCCATTAGCAAAATGAATGAACATGTTCTTTCAACAGGATGGAGCGCCACTACATTTTACTTTGATTGTGCATGACTTTCTAAATGAATGTTTCTTTAACAAATGTATAGATCAAAGAGGTCCTGTTGAATGGCCACTAATGTCACCAGACCTCACACACTTGGATTTCTTTCTGTAGGGATATTTGAAATCAGTTGTTTATCAGATGTGCCTAAGAAATATTGAAGTTAAAGGAGGAATTAAATATGAATGCAGAAGGAACCCTCCAACATGTTAATGAATCCTGCAGGCACAGAATTGTTTTGAAAATGGAGGACATTTTGAACCACATATATGACAATTAAATAGAATTTTAATGTGTATCTATACTTATAATAAATCATCCTTATGGTGTATGAATTTTGCCTCACTCTGTTTATATGTGTGAATAAAAAGGCATTAAATTATCTCACTTACTCCATAATTTACGATTAACACAGTTAACTAAGAATATTTTAGAGCATTCTTAAATTTTAAAATTATGCACAAATGCCCACGAGCAAAGTAGGAATCCATAAAATCCCTCCAGCTATGGGTTAAATATCAGGACTTTTATCTGGAGAAATTGTTATTCTCAAAAAAAAAGGTTAATGCAATATTTATTCATAAACAAAAAATAATTCTTATAATCTTAAATTTGTTTTGGCTTTAAATAAATCACAAAGGTTGATAAACCATAAAAAAAATAATTTTGTTTTAGTACTGCTCAATTATCATTAACCTTTTTTTCTGCTACCTATCTCTGGGATTGAACTCACTTTTTCTTGCTGCTGAAGTTTTCATGTCATTCACTGGGCACTACTTTAAAAAAGTGAGGAGGGGGACAAGATGTTGACAAGATAGATTAAAAAAGGATTCAGTTTAAAATTTCTTACCTGGGTCAACAGACACCTGAGGAAGGCTGAAGGTCACTGTGGCTGAAACGTGGTGTTAAAGATGAGGATATTAGTCCAGCTCTAAATACTGACAACTCCACATCCCAAAAATGCAGACAGAAAATGTCATTGGAAAATTATAAAGTAGCAGCAAAACAATAACAATGACTGAAAAAGGTTTGCCATTTAGAAATTACCTGAAATAAGTTTTAAATAATATATTTAATAATTATATTTCTTTTTTTCAGAGTCTTGTAAAATCTGGGCGAGACATTGCTGCTGGTTTGTTCCTGTGCTCGGTTTTTCTACAGGTCAGCTAAAGGTTTTTTTTGCTTTTTTTTTTCATATATCAAATTTTTTATTTGAAATTATTCAAATATTATCCCTGTCAAAATTTATATATAAAATTCTGTGACTTCTGTTAGTCCATCCATCCATCACATCTAAAATAGCCATACATTGACTGAAACCAAATTTTAGGGAGACGTGCAAACAAGTAAGGGAGTACAAAGTGCAGTTGATCTTACTAGGATGTGTAGCGAAGTACAATAAATTTTCATTCTTTATTTTTTTTTTTTTAATTAAAAGCTTTATTATTTAACACACAAAATACTCTTACTATTTCAAAAACAATTTAATGATTGAAATATCAAATACTTATTTAATAAAAATGCAATATTGTTTTATTGCATATTTTTTTTCTTCAAGTTTTTATATACAGGGTGAGATGGGTAAATTGTTGTCATTTTTATATTTTTAGTTTTGTGTAACATGTCATTTGTCAACTGTACAGTATAGTAGGGTCAGTTGGGAACCATCTGTGAGAAAAAGAGCACCATGACACAACTCACTCTGCCAGAAATTTGGAAACTGCATGCTGTACTGCTTGGCATTCATGCTGGAAGCTCTCATACAAACATTTCAGAGTGCTTGGGTACAGAGTCCTATTGCCAGACATAGGGTCTTCCAGTAGCCACCCACTTGACCCAGAGTAGCACTACCTCTTCAAGACATTTGATATTAAGTCTGAGGCCCTCACCAACAAATTCTCATAGTGAGTTTTCTGAGCTGCTGTACCTTTGCAATCACCATTAGACTCATCCAACTCTTTTCAAATCCTCTGCACTGTCCTCAGATTGACACCCAAACACACTAAAATTTACGCATCGCACCCTGTGCCTCAGCTCAGTATAATGGATTAACTGGTATCGTTGAATATCACCAGTACTGGTATTAAAAATTAATTATTCTTATATAAAATTTAAAAGGTTCACTATGGCCAAAGACACATTCTAAAAGCTAAGCAGAGTATTATGAGACAAGAGGGTTTCGCTGGTAACAAAGAAAAGAGTTCTGAACTGCTAAGTGATATCTGCCCTCCTTTATGGCAGCAAATGTTGGATGGTCTCCTCAAAGATGAAGAGACTTGAGACAGCAGAGGTATGGTTCTACAGAAAGATGCTGAGAATACCATGGACTGTACATCTTAGCAACAATGAGGTTTTGGAGAATTGCAAACAAAAAGGAAACTCATACTTAACATTGAGAAGAGGCAGCTGAAATTTCTGGGACACGAAATGAGAAAGGAGGGCTTGGAAAATCTGATACTCACAGGGTGGATAGAGGGACAAGGGAAAGCAATGCATGAAAAACTTAATGGGCTTAAGCAAATGGATGTCAGGACAGGGTCTGGGAGAAATAACAAAAAGTCAAAGCTTGAGAGCTACAAGGGATAGGAGAAAGTGGAGAGCCATGATCACTTATGTCCTGAAGGGATGACATGACACATAAAAGAAGTAGAAGAATACTGTTTATCATAGAACTTACCATATTTGGAAGCATGAAAGACATATTGGCATATTAACGTGTCATATTCAGTAAGAAAAGTTTTAGTGTATTTAAGAATGTTATATAAAAAGCTAGCTATCAGTACATTATAAAACCTTAAAAAAGCTTTTTAGCTATAGCAGAAAACATTACTGTATATAAAAAGCAAGCTAGCATTACAGTTGAACATGAAATGAGAAATCCCAATTGTGAAAATGTCCCTTCATGTCGTTTTCTGCTGCCTATCACCATTTTGCTGGGTTATTTAAAATTAGAAATTTTTTTAGATTGTAAGAATTTTTTGATATTATTTTTTATGAGATAAAGGTTTATTGAGACAAATCTTACTAATTAACCTATAGCTGTGGGAGAAGAGTATTTGCAAGGGTATTTGCACATAGATGAATATGACAAACCCAATGGGAACTCTGCTCTCCAATTAACATTTCCAAGCCATTATGCATTACACCACCTGCACATCCAAGCTTTCATTACCTGGTATTCCCAAGCAGTTACCCATCTAGGTACTGACCACATTCAACATTGCTTAACTTCAGTGATCAGATGGGAGCCAGTGTTTCAATGTTATATGGCCTTAAGCTTCTAATAGTAGACAAGGTGTTGCTAAAACTTTGGGTTGGGAGCAGACATTTTCAACATCACCCTCATACAATATGCATAAATCTCATGTTACTCCCCTATGAAATTCTTACATTTCATGTTTACATTATTTACACTTAGACCATTATCTTCATCTTTATTGTTGTTATCATGTTTCAACCACTGTGCTCACTATCATCAGTAGCTTGTTGATTCAGGTAACCTTCAGGAAATAATGGACTGAACCCTTCATTTAATCCACAAAGGAAGATTGTTCTCATTTTGCTGTCTGACTGTAAGTAATGGAAATAATGATAATTCCTCATTCCAGAAAGATGAGGATATTAATCTGACTGTAAATGATGTAAATAACTCCTCATCTAAGAAAGCTAAAATGTTGTGATAATAACAACAAAGATGAGGATATTAGTCTGGCTGCAAATAATGTAAATAATGATAATTCCTCATCCCAGAAAGCTGAAATTTTGTGATAATAACAAAGATGAGGATATTAGTCTGACTGTAAACAATGATAATCTCCTCATCCTGGAATCACGGATAGAAATTACTTGTTGTATGCATTTGCCTTTCTTTTCTTTTTCAGTGTGTCACAACCTCAAAGAGATTTGTCCCAGAAGTAATAAATTATCTTCATGGAATTCTTTACCTCGCATCTTCCAAAGATTCTCAAAAGTGTAAGCTTATTTGAAATTTTCCTTTTACCATGAAAAAATAAGATGTTTTAACCATTTCAAGTTGTCTCTGGTGTAACCATTTGTTGATGAACATCCAATGCACCTACCAGGATTGAAGAAGCCACAATGTTTCACATGCATAATCTCCAATTTGAAAAAAGTGCATGTGCAAACTGGCAAACCTGATATAACTAACAAGAGACATGTGTTCATCCTGTCCAGTTTTCACACATATCTACACATTCTCTTGACAGAAAATGGTGTTATATAGCTCTCCCAGTCCCAGACCCACACTGACTATTGACTAATACCTGCCCGATATCATTCATATTGTTATAGACAAGCGTATGGTTGCAAGAAAGAAATACGACAACAGTAGAAATAGATTTACGTGGTTTATTTCAATAGGAACGTAAGGGTTTAGGACAGCTACCTTGGTGTGGTAAAGTTCATAAGCCGACTTTCGGATCTAGATCGATCTCTCATAGTAGTTCACACATGTTGATGGTGGTTGACGCTCTCCTGCTGACAGCTGCTAAACGTGACCGGTCTCCTTTGTGGCCACCTGTTGACTGCCTGTTGAACTTCCCTGTGACCTCTTTTTATAGCTTTTTTTTTTGGCTTAACAGGCTCGAGAAACGGCGAGTATAATTAGGAGGGAAGCATTTTTATTGGACGAAAAATAGAGCACTTTTAAATATTATTTTATTTTTTCGACCGAACATGTGTGTCGGAAACATTTGTGAAGAAAGATGGTCATTTTGTGACAGGGCTTTGTCCCATTCACATCCGGTTCTCGCTCTTTAGTATTTGCCTGTAAATCAGCCGAGATATGTCTTATTTTATTTTATAACAATATCCAAATAACCAGTGCCACCTCCTCTAATTAGGTCTTCTCTCAACAGCCCATTGTGGAAGAGGACAGAACTCCTGGTGCTTACAGCACCACATGCAGCTAACTGTTACAAGACAACCATGCAAATTCTAAACATATATAAACGCTATGAATTTGTCAGTGTGGGAGAGAGGGACTTTTGACTGGTGTTTAGGTAGCTACATAAGAACAGAGAGATGAGAGAAAGAGGGACTCGAAAGTTTTAATGTCAAGCCAGAAAAGGAAAGTAGAAGAAACATCAGGTTCACTGTGAAATAAAATTATTAGCATTAAAAGAATTCTTCTTACACCTGTACTGATTTCTAACTTTTTATTTTCTCGTCTTTTCCTTTCTTCACGTGCCAACCTTGAACACCATTTTATGTCATAACAGATGTAATCATTTTACAATGTCTTCAGTGTTACCATTTTACAATGGGTGCTTTTGACCACTCAATCTTCAGTGGCATTTTCATACTAGAAACAGAAGGCATTACCTTGTACTGTGGACAGCACATTAGCCAACTACTGACCTTTAACCCTTTCCTTGCCAATTATTTGAGGGAAAATGTTGCATTTTCAAACAAATTTATTTATTTGATAGCAACTAACAAATTGAAGTACCTTGAGGAATGCATGCATATTTGTACCTTTCACTTTATTTTCTTCTAGGACTTTCTCCTACATCAAACTACATGCACACATTCTTTAGTCTTTAAATGTTTTCTTCTTTTGTATTCATTGTTTTGTCATGTGTAACAATCTTCAATTGTTGATGTATACCCTTGTTTGTTAATACATACTTATTGCTTATATATATATATATATATATATAGTTGTTACTTTGTTCATTTATTACCTGGATTCACATATAAAGTTCACCATTTTTGTTGTGGGATAAATATACCAGGAGACGTGTTTCCAACCCCAAAACTTGACCAGCATACACCTGCAACAGTATATTGAGAATTTCTCGACCTCAAAAAAGAAATACAAAATTATCAAAAGCAATAAGAACCTGCCACGATAAGCAAATTTGATTTGAGATTAAATACAAAGACTCCCAAAATACACCATCTTTGGGTTCAGTGATGTACAGTTAGTGCAATATAAGGCTTCATCTAAGAAATTCAGACAATTTAAGACTATTACTGCTTTGTTGGAAAAGCAAGAGAAATAAGATGAAAGAAATACTGGTCAAAAATGAATAATAATTGCCAAGGCTTCATCTAAGAAATTCAGACAACTTAAGACTATTACTACTTGGTGGAAAAGCAAGAGAAATAAGATGAAAGAAATACTAGTCAAAAATGAATAATAATTGCCAAGGCTTCATCTAAGAAATTCAGACAACTTAAGACTATTAATACTTGGTGGAAAAGCAAGAAAAATAAAATGAAAGAAATGTTAGCGAAAAATGAATAATAATTGATAATACTTCATCTAAGAAATTTAGACAACTTAACATGATAATATATAAAAGGAAGAAAGACAAAAATAAATGAATACTTGTGAAAAATTAATAATAACTTAAAGCGTCTTTGGTATGACGATAAACTTCATCCGTATCCTGGGTAAGACGATAAACTATGTCCAACAGCAAGGCCTCTGATCAGGAGGTTTTGAGGAGCATGGAGCCACTTCTAAATTGCTGATTTTCTCAGATCCACCCTGACCTGCGTTGGTAACACCTGTCAGGGTCCCAGCTATGGGTAAATAGTTAACACCCAAACTTGTGTAAAAATAGGTTTTAATACCAGAAATACTTTGTAATAAAAAAATTATTACCAGCAATAATTTTTGAAGGAAAAATTATTATCAGCAATACTTTAAAAAAATACCAACAATATAAACAGCTATACATTCTTTGGAAAAAAGATGACCAGCTATAGATTTCTTCAAGGAGAAATATTCCCAGAAATAGATTTTTGAAGAAAAACATATTACCAGCAATAAAAATTGTTGGCATTAAATAACCCATTGAGGTTGATATGCTGTAAAACAAACCAAATTTAAAAGGAAAGCTTCACAATTTTTAATTGTTGGATTTCTTTGTCTTTTCTAGCACCTCAAATATTTCTTCCGTTCAAACCTGTTGAACCAGAAATGAATTTATTGGTCTTAACAGAAGAAACAGCAAGGTAAGTGAGATATTGTTTCACAGAATCAGTGTTAAGTTCTGGTGCCATTCTCACTGGTGATAATGTCACCAGATGCTGAAATGATTTGCTATTTTTGTCACTTTTTGATGGAGTCTTTCTAATCATTTCTATTAGGGTATCTAGATTTGTTCATATCTGCACTTAAATGGAACCTGGCACAAGTCCAGCTATAAAATGAGGGTTCCATGTAAACATGGGATGGTGAACAAAATTTGTCTCTCTCTTTTTTTGGGGATGGATCAAGTTGCATGAAATAACCTTATCCTTCTCCCAGAGGAGAGGTACTGCCTGGTACGTTGACACCTTGAAGCTGAGTAGTACATATTTTCCATAATTTAGATTTGCAAAATGAATTCAAAGGATATACTTTCTCTTTTCATAGTCTTTTTTTTTTTTTATTATTCTCTATTGGTATATTTACATTGGGTTTATACGAATTTGGTAGAGTCCATTTTTCATTGGTACAAACAGACAAAAATTGGAAAGAACCAAATCTGGAATATATGGTGGGTGTGGTAAGTCAGTCTAGCCAAAATTTGAAACTTGGTCTATCATCTTCAAACTGATGTAAGACCTGATGTAGTGTTGCAAGTAAAATTTCTTTTTTTCTGGCTGGAGTATGGTAATTTGGGTTTGCAGTTTCGTGATTTAATGATCACTTATCTGACAAGAAGTTCAGGCTGACTCCATCTATAGGAATTTTAATCCCACAGAAAATGAAATTAAGTGGATTATTTAGCACACAAAAAAAAAAGAACTTTTACTCATTATAGAAGTGAACAGAAAGAATTTGTAAATTTTTTAATCATTTCACACCAAGCAAGTCAGTTCCTGTATGATCACTGAAGTTAAGCAATATCATGCCTGTTCAGTACCTAGATGGGTGACTGCTTGGGAATACCAGGTGCCATAAATCTGGATGTGCAGATAATATAAAGACATTTAAATAGGTAAACATTGGCCTTCTACTTATAAATATGCCTGTTCTTGTCAGGGTGGGGAGGTAGATGTTGAGGGGGTTAAAATTGTTCAGGAACAAAAAAAATATTATGATTATCATGGAACATTTGGATTATTTGAAATAGTAAAAAAAACAAAATCTTTACTCAAACTATTTTGGATTTTACAAGAGACAATGCCAACTATTTAGAGAAAAAAATATTTGTTTTGAGTTCTGGTTAGGTACTAAAATCATCAGTCCAATACTCTAACCTGTTCACTTGATAATTCATTTGATTTTGTACTTACAGCCATATCATGTTGAAACACCAGTTATCATAAGATCACTGAAGTTAAGTAATGTTGAGCTTGGTCAATACCTAGTTGGGTGACCACTTGGAAATGCTATAAGCTTGGATGTGCAAGTGGTGTAATGAATAATCACTCAGAATTGTTAATCAGAGAGTTGAGTTCCAGTTCATTATATTCACTTACGTGCAAATATCCTTGAAAATGGTATGAATCCACCTCTTCTCCCCTCCAGCTATGGATTAATTAGTAAGCCTTGTATCACTAAAAGCATTATTATCTCCCCCACCAATCAAGGTTGATCTGCTGCTAAACAAAATAAACAACCAACCAACCCAAGCAAGGCAATAAAGCCACTAAGACAAGGGGTTACTGAGTTTGAAAGAATATGAAGGAAAAAACACTATTAAAGAGAGAGAGAACAATAAAAGAACAGGAATTAAGAAACAGTAGATAATGATTGACATTGCATTTAAATTTTTGAAGATAAAGATCAAAGTTGACTGGAAAACAAGAAGCTGAAAGAGAGTTCCACAAGTGAGAGGTTTGATAGAAGAAACTGTTAGCTTACAACTGTAAAATGATGAGACCTTGTTGCTAATAAATTCATAAAGTCTAGGAACCATAGAGGAAAGTTCATCAGAACAATTACCATGAAAGTATTTATAGAAAAGGCACAAGGAAGCTACAGTTTTCCCAAATTGCCAGGTCAGGACCAATAACATTGCAGATTCTTTGACTTTTTTTCAAGGATCTCTAAATATATAGCAGGCACACTAGACCAGATATGGCAGCAACATACAAAGTAGACTTATAAATATGTAAGATAGATTCTTGTGAGAAAAATTATCTTGCACAACACAGTGAACCAACTTTCCTAGCAGCAGACCTAGCACTTTATTTAATATAATCTTTCGTCTTTATGTCAGTAGAAAACCTTAGTCTGAAAAGGTACAATGAGTCACTCTCCTAGAGGTTAGTATCAGCCATACTGATGAAAGGCAAAAATATTTGCCTCAGGTGATTAAAAGAGAGCAGTTTTTTTTTTTTTTAATTTAATCATGAAACAAAAGAGTATGTCTTGCTTAAAATATTCTTTTGAGCTCATAATAAAAACTAAACTGAGTAGAAAAAAAAAAGAATGTGCATTAAAAAATGCCTCTTGCAATTTAAATAAAAAAAAATAAGGTATAGAATAAAAGTTGTGAACTTCTGATAACTGTCGAGATCAACATAGCAGATGCAAAGAATGTTACAGATTAGGAAGACTGATGAATTTTAGTAGGAACTAGCAGTAGAGCCCGGCGTTGCTCAGGGATGTAACAGTAAGAGATAGATCAAGTATTGACCATCATAAAGACTGAAAAATAAAATTGACAAAGATTATTGTTTAAGGTTGACGGACACGCATGACTTAATTAGTTTTTTTTTTTTTTTTTTACGAATTGGTCAAACCCAAACTCAAACAAAAACATTGTTTTCAATCGTTATGATGAGTCTACCGATTGAATAGAACTTTATTATAAACAATTGTCTTGTAAATGGAATTTTTAAAGCATTCTGAATGTAAAAATAAAGAAAAAAGTGTGCAAGACAATAAGAAACACTACCTGCCAAAAAAAAAGTGAAGTTTTGTTGAAATCGATTGAAAAATATAGGAAATCCAATCCCATATACACAAACAACCTGGGTTTTATAATAAGTATAACTCGATATGAGTTGTCCCCTTCCATTCTCGTGATGCCTCTTAATCGTGTTTTCAAATTGATTTCGTGCAAAAACAATTGTGTTTTTCCAATTTTTGGTGCTGTCAGAACCACTGCAAGGTAATTTTACGTAGTCCTGTGAAGTTTTGTTGAAATCGGTTGAAAAATGTAGGAAATCCATCCAATATATAAATGTACAGACACACACACACGCACACACACAACCTGGGTTTTATAATAAGTATGATAAGGGCTTTTATTATGTTTCTTTAAATTTGGTTTCAAAACAAATTGTTGGGTTTTTTTTTCAGGTCATGTCTGGTGTATTTGGTTGACCACTTGCTGTTTTGAAATTTTCTTTTTGTTCTCAGCTGCAAATGTTAAGTCTTAAGGTTGTCCTCTTCTCTCTCTGATTATCCATTCTGATAATGAATGAAGGAAATGTCTACTGACCTTATTTATAGGCTGCTAGAATGACAGTGCTACCATTTCAAATTAGTGCAGGTTTGAAATTCTGTTCCTTACTGGAAAATATTCTGAAGGAAGATTTTCCTCCTCCATCATTTTTTTCCAGAACATTTGAATTTCATTGCCTTGAGTCAGACTTCTTCTATGTCCAGTGTCCCTTCAGTACATAATTGATCATAGCTCTCCACAATTTCCTGTCCTTTTTAACTTTTAATAAATTTTGTCTTTTTGTTCTCTCCTAAACCTTGTTCCACCATCCATTTATTTAAATTCACATTTCTTCTTTGTGCCGTGTCACTTCAGTACATGGGCAATTATGGCTCTCCACAATTTCCTGTCCTTTGTAACTTTTAATAAATCTTATTTTTTTGTTATCTCTTGTAAAGCTTGCTCCACCATTCATTTCTAGGTAGGTTATGCGTTGTCTTCCCCTGTCCCTCTTGTCTTCCCCTGTCCCTCTTGTCTTCCCCTGTCCCTCTTGTCTTCAATCTGTCCTGTGTGTCTCAAATTTTCCAAGCCCTCTTTCTTCATTGTTTCCTAGAAAATTCAAGTCTCTCTTCCTGATGTTAAGTATAAGTGTCCTTTTTGATGGAGAATTTGCATATTTCATGAAATCAGTGGTTCCCAAATGGTGCGGCACACCTCATTCCGTGCGGCGGAAGAGGATAGCAGGTGAGGTGGAATGATTGAAAGACAATCAAAGATTTAGAAATGGTTTAAAAAATTTCATATTCCAAAAATAAATATGATTTCAAAATTTCAAATATTATTATGGATTACTTGTAATTGCATGCATGAGTACCAGTATAAATAGTTATAAGTAATTATTGAGCGATTTTATCATTGTGATATTTTTGCATTATATTAAGTATTAAGAATATGGTAACTAGGGTCTGTAAGTTGGAGGAGAGAGTTATCAGTGATAATGTTCTGACTTCAAATCCACAGTTATCTCCCTTTAACACTCTCTGGTTTTTTCTTTTCTTTTTAAATGTACTTTTTATCACATAAAATTTGGTAGGTGTGAAAAACTTTTCATTTCGAAAATGCGGCCAAGAGAAAAAATGTTTGGGAACCACTGCACTAAATGAACTGTCTTTTGATTTTAGTCAGCTGGGCTTACTCTACATTTTGTCATTGGTGATGATGTAGTCATGTAGGGAAATGTCACCTTCCACACTAATGGTTAAGCAGGTCTTGATAGATGTATATTCAGTGATCTTTCTGTTCTTTTTTTTTTTTTTAATTTTCAATCATTTTACCCCAAGCAAAGCAATAAAGCCACTAAGACGCAAGGGATTACTGAGTGTGAGAGACTTATGAAAAAAAGAAAATAGGGAGAGAGAACAATAAAAGAGAAATCAAGATGATAGAAGATAACAACTGACATTACATTTAAATTTTTGAAGATCAAATTTGACCAGGAAGCAAAAATCAAGAAGTGAATTCCATAAGCTAGAAGTACAACAGAAGAAATTATTAGCATAGAACTTAGAGTTACATCTAGCCATTTCAACTGTAAAATGAGATATAGTTGCCAATCTAGTACTGTGCTTAAATTCATAAAGTACCAAAGAAGAAAATTCATCAAAACAATTGCCATGAAAATATTTATAGAAAAGGCAGAGGGAAGCCACATTATGGTGGTAGAAAAGTAACTAAAGCCAAGATGTCAGGACTGATAGCATTGCAGATTCTTCTTTTTATTTTACCATGAATCTGTAAATACAGAGCAGAAGCATCAGATGAGATGATAACAATATTCAATCCATGGATGAATGGTAAACTTATAAATGTAAAAGATAGATTCTGGCAAGAAACATATTGTCTAGCAGTGAACCAACTTTTCTGGTAGCAGATTTAGCAATTGATTCCATATAATCTTTCTATTTCATGCCAGCAGAAAATATTAGTCCAAGAATTTGCAATGAGTTACTCTCCTGGAGGTTAGCATTAGCCATGCTGATAAAAGACAAAGATGGTTTTCTCAGGCTATTAAAAGAGAACCATTTCATTTTGGAGGCGTTGTTATTAGCAAGCTATTTCTTGCCCCCGTTAACAACAGATTTGAGGTCATTATTGTAATCAGCTGCCAATTTGACCTTATCAAACTGATCAGACTTATTATCAAGACAGGGGTAAAAAGTTGTCATCAGCACAGATACCAAGTTGTGTGTGAGTTTAAGTCTCTGTAAAATGCTTGCATAAGAACTGGATTTATAAAGCTCATGTCAACCTGAACTTTTAAAATGAGGAGTTATCATTATTTACTCTATTTAGTTAGAAAAGAGAAGCCTCAGTGAATACAGTCAAGCATGGCAAGCAGTGTCAGCAGAAGGCAGATTAGGTTTAATACTCCATGTTCTTCACTTAGGATTGTCACACAGGACAGTAACCTAGTGGATTATTGCAAGCCAGGTCATACAGGCTTTAACCTGTACAAGGAAAGCAAAAACTGAGCAATACTAAATAAGAACAACACGAGATATCCCTAGGCATGAAGATTGGAATGAGAACAATCTACTTCTGTAAATTAAATAAAGGATTCGTTTCAAAATACCCTGAAGGTTGACTAAATTAGCAGAAACCTGAAGAAGGTTAGTGGGTACAATAGCTGAAATGTTTTAATAACTAAATGATGAGGACATTAGTCGGAGTATAAATTGCGTATATAATTATAAAGATAAGCTGTAAAATGAGAAACTGTCATTCTTTTTCTTTTTTCAGTGAGGAAACTATACAACCCTTGAAACTCAGTTATCTAAAAGGCTGCAAGGACAGCAACAAAGACAATTTGTTTAATTGTGACAGATTTAGGTAAGTTGTCATGATTATTTACTGCCAAATGTTTGTAAATTCCTAAGTTTGGTTATTTTTCTTCTTTTGAAAATTTTTCTCATATACAGTGGTGGGAAAGTAGATCTCTAAATCAGTCATGGGCAAACTGCAGCCTGTTTGATCTTTCTGAATAGCATGTGTAATTTCATAAGGAAAATAACGTTACTTAAAATTTTATTTTGTTTCATTCTCACTTGTTCACTCACAGACTCTTTCATACATAACCAGATACATAAACAATGATTAAGTACAGTGTTTCTTGAATTTTGTAAACTTTTAAGGAAGTAACATTTTCAGCAATTTAAACCATTGGCAATTTTCACTAAGGAAGATTATACATGTAAACATCTTTTGCTTTTGAAACAAGAAACATCTATAATTTTTTTCTCTGAAAAAGACATATTTGTCTTATTTTCAAATGAATAAATTACAAATAAATCACACACAGCGACATGTGTTAATCACACTGTCATAATAATATACCAACAATTCAATTTTTTAATTATAGAAAAATCTTTCCTCCCAAAGAAAATAATTCACCTTATAATAATTACACTTATGGTATTCTGTAGTGAAAATAGCCGAGGTACATACTATGAAAAATTACTGTGAATCTTTTTAGTAGTGCAGCCCATTTTGTGATGAGTCATGGATAATGGAGCCTACTGCTTGAAAAAGGTTGCCCATACCTGCTCTAAATAGACAGCAGAAGCACCAGTCCAGATGTAGCAGCAATATTCACTGCATGGGCAAATGGTAGACAGCTTTTCTAAACCGAACTGCTCATGAATTATAAATCCAGTGTATTCCTTGGATGTTTCTAACGTTTTAGTAATTCTTTTGGTTGAGATTTGTCGATCAGCTAAAATTAGGTCATGCACATGTTCAGCAATTTCAGAGTTGGTGCTGTTGAGAAGCCTCCCAGACAGGATCTTGCATCTCAAAATCTCCAAACTAAATATTAACATGTCATATACTTAAGTATAGCAGACATTGGTCCTCCAAATGTTTTGCATTTTATACTCATGGATTTGTTTTGGAAGATTTTTTTTTTTATACTAATGTTTACTCAGTACAAGGCCCAAGAGTCACTCAAGATAGAGCATTACTGAATGAGGTGAGTGTGTGATATGAATATGAGAAAAGAAAGTTGGAACTGAAGATTAAAAAGAAATAGGAATTGTGGAATAGTCCAAAGGTCAAAGTACTTGAAATCTTCACACTTGCCCTTAATAATGTTCAGTCAATTACTTACAAAATAAATACGTACAAGGGCCCTGCAAATCATCATGTTATAATAGAAAATAACTCTCCTGTCAGATACGACTTATGACCATGTCGAGTTGAAACACCAGTTTTTGTCTGGTTACTGAAGTTAAGCAACATCAAGTCCAGTCAGTACCTAGATGGGTGACCACTTGGGAATACCAGGTGCTATAAGCTTGGTTATGTGTGTGGAGTAATGGATAATGGCTTGAAATTGTCTATCAGAGAGCCGAGTTCCAATTTCAATCAAGTTCGTTATATTTACTTATGTGCCTTATACCCTTGGAAAAGTTATGAATATGACCTCTTCTCCTTCCAGCTATGAGTTAAATAGTAAACCATTATTGTCAAACAAAAAAAATTCTTACAATCTAAAAATATTTCCTGGCCTTAAATAACCTGCAAAGGCTTGATAAACCATAAAAAACAAATCAGTCAGTCAATCAAATAGCTACATAGACATGTCATTTAGATTTATTTACATTCCCTGGAACATAAATGTATAGAAACTACCGTGATCACAAAGTGAGGGGTCAGTTTATATATTGATTGTAATATAGAATTGATCTGTCACTTGATATCCGCATTATAATTTCTTATTTATCAAATTCTGATTGTGATATTATTCCACTTCTTCTCCCCCTAGCTATGGGTTAAATTGTAGAATTTTTATCAGTAAATCATTATTATCTCCATAAAACTTCTTACAATCCCAAAATATTTTCTGGCTTTAAATAACCTGTAAAAGGTTGATAAGCCATAAAAAAACAAATCAATCCTTCCAGATACAGTAGCAATGCTCAGTTTTTGGTAGGTTTGTCAGACAGAACTTTTCAGAATCTCTTTATGGCACGTTACAGGTTTTTTTGGCATATACAAATTGTTGGCATCACTACTCCTGGGCTTTTGGGCATTTTTAAGTTATGAGTTATTTATTTCTGGGGTTGAAGGGGAATAAGATGGAACGCCTTTGTTCTCCCCTACCCGATCCGTTTTTCTCATTATTCTGTCATGTCTTGTTTATGTCTCTTCTATCCCTTCTCCATTTTATTTCTGAATCTCCAAAACATTTCCTTTACCCAAGCCCACAAAGCTGTTTTTTTTTTTTATATATATATATATATATATATATATATATATATATATATATATATATATATATATATAGTCTTTCATTCACTCCAGCTTTCTCTTAACTTACTCTCTCACCATTACTCTTAGAATTTGAATTTCTGCCTTCCTTATCCAATTTCCTTATTAATCACTTCTTTTTTGATTATTTCCCAAGCTATTCTATTCTTTCTTTAAAAATTTTTTTTTTGCTGATCTTTTTTCTTTTTTTTTGCTGATCTTTTTCCTTTTCTTTTTTTTGCTGATCTTTTTTCTTTTCTTTTTTTTGCTTTTTTTTTTTTTTTGCTGATCTTTTTTTTTTTGCTGATCTTTTTTTTTTTTTTTGATTTTCTTTTTTTTGCTTTTTTTTCTTTTTTTTTTGCTGATCTTTTTTTTTTTTTTTTTTTTTTTTTTGATCTTTTTTTTTTTTTTTTTTTTTGCTGATCTTTTTTCTTTTCTTTTTTTTGCTGATCTTTTTTTCTTTTCTTTTTTTTGCTGATCTTTTTTTTCTTTTCTTTTTTTTGCTGATCTTTTTTTTTTTTCTTTTTTTTGCTGATCTTTTTTTTTTTTTTTTTTTTTTGCATTTTTTTTTCTTTTGAATTTTTCTTTTTTTTTCTTTTTTTTTTGCTGATTTTTTTTCTTTTCTTTTTTTGCTGATTTTTTTTTTTTTTTTGCTGATCTTTTTTTTCTTTTCTTTTTTTTGCTGATCTTTTTTTTCTTTTTTTTTCTTTTCTTCAGGCTTTTAAACCAATTTGTGTTCAGTTTTTCTTTCATTAATTTTATGAATCCTTCATTTTTATTTATTTATTGTTTTGATTTTTTTTTTTTTTCATCAGTTTTTTATCATTTCTTATTAACTCTTTTTCTTTCTCACCTTTACCCACCTTTCTTTCTCTTTTTTTTTTTGTCATCACCCTTCCTTTTGTTTCTCTCTTCTCGTTTTCTGTTTTATTTTTCATTTTCCCTCTCATCCACTTATTTCCTTTTATTTTCTACTCAATTATTTTTCTATTTTTGTCTTTCTCTTTTCCAAAGATTTACAATGTCATAGCAATTTTTTTCTTTTGATATAGTTTTATTTTTATCTCTTTTATTTTTTTTTATTTTTTGTTCAGCCAGTGTTTCTTTTCATTCTTGGTTTCTTTCATTTCCTTTCTTTCATTCTCTCTCTTTTCTTGTCTGTATCTCTCTCTCTCTCTCTTTTCTTGTCTGTATCTCTCTCTCTCTCTCTTTTCTTGTCTGTATCTCTCTCTCTCTCTTTTCTGTATCTCTCTCTCTCTTGTCTGTATCTCTCTCTCTCTTTTCTTGTCTTCTCTCTCTTTTCTTGTCTGTATCTCTCTCTTTCTTGTCTCTCTCTCTTCTTGTCTATCTTGTCTCTCTCTCTCTTTTCTTGTCTGTATCTCTCTCTCTCTCTTTTCTTGTCTGTATATCTCTCTCTCTCTTTTCTTGTCTGTATATCTCTCTCTCTCTTTTCTTGTCTGTATCTCTCTTTTCTTGTCTGTATCTCTTCTCTTCTTGTCTGTATATCTCTCTCTCTCTTTTTCTGTCTGTATCTCTCTCTCTCTCTCTCTTTTCTTGTCTGTATCTCTCTCTCTCTCTCTCTTGTCTGTATCTCTCTCTCTCTTTTCTTGTCTGTATCTCTCTCTCTCTCTTGTCTCTCTCTCTTGTCTTGTCTCTCTCTCTCTCTCTCTTCTCTTGTCTGTATCTCTCTCTCTTGTCTGTCTCTCTCTCTCTCTCTCTTCTCTGTCTGTATCTCTCTCTCTCTTGTCTCTCTCTCTCTCTCTTGTCTGTATCTCTCTCTCTTTCTCTGTCTCTCTCTGTCTGTATCTCTCTCTCTCTTGTCTGTATCTCTCTCTCTCTCTCTTGTCTCTCTCTCTCTTGTCTGTATCTCTCTCTCTCTCTCTTGTCTGTATCTCTCTCTCTCTCTCTTGTCTGTATCTCTCTCTCTCTCTCTTGTCTGTATCTCTCTCTCTCTCTTTTCTTGTCTGTATCTCTCTCTCTTGTCTGTCTTCTCTCTATCTTGTCTGTATCTCTCTCTCTGTCTTTATCTCTCTCTCTCTTATCTTTATCTCTCTCTCTCTCTCTCTTTCTCTCTCTCTCTCTCTTGCCTGTATCTCTCTCTCTCTCTATTTTTGTCTCTCTCTCTCTTGTCTGTATCTCTCTCTCTCTCTCTCTCTCTCTCTCTCTCTCTGTCTCTCTCTCTCTCTCTTGTCTGTATCTCTCTCTCTCTTTTCTTGTCTGTATCTCTCTCTCTCTTTCTTGTCTATCTCTCTCTCTCTCTTGTCTTTCTCTCTTGTCTGTATATCTCTCTCTCTCTCTTTTCTTGTCTGTATCTCTCTCTCTTTTCTTGTCTGTATCTCTCTCTCTTTTCTTGTCTGTATCTCTCTCTCTCTGTCTATCTATATCTCTCTCTCTTGTCTCTCTCTCTCTCTCTTTATATCTCTCTCTCTCTCTTCTTGTCTGTATCTCTCTCTCTCTTTTCTTGTCTGTCTCTCTCTCTCTTTTTGTTGTCTGTATCTCTCTCTTTTTGTTGTCTCTATCTCTCTCTCTTTCTTGTCTTGTTCTCTTTCTCTCTCTCTCAATTATTCTCTTCTCTTTTTTTCTAGTCTTTTTCTCTCTCTTGTTATTTTCTTTCTTTTCTTTTTTGTTAATTTCTCTCTCTTTATTCTCTCTCTTTTTCCCTCTCTCTCTTTTATTCTCTCTCTCTCTCTCTCTCTTGTTAGTCCCTCTCTTTTTTTGTCATTCTCTCTTATTCTCTTCCTCTTTTTATTCTCTTACTTATTTTCCTCTTTTATTCTCTTATTAGTTTCTCTTTTTTTATTCTCTTCTTTCCTCTGTCTTTTTTCATTTTATTGCTAGTTTCTTTTATTCTTTATTGCTAGTTTATTCTCTTACTAGTTACTCTTTTATTCTCGTTAGTTTCTCTTTTATTGCTAGTTTCTGTCTCTCTCTTTTATTGCTTGTTTCTCTCTCTCTCTTTTATTGCTAGTTTCTCTCTCTCTCTCTTATTCTCTTGTTAGTCTCTCTCTCTTATTCTCTTCTCTGCCTCTCTCTCTTATTCTCTTCTCATTCTTATTCATTCTCTGTTGTTTTGTTACTCTTTCTCATTCCTTGTTAGTCTCTGTCTTTGTCTCTCTCTCTCTCTCTCTCTTTTCTTTTCTCTCTCTTGTCTCTCTCTATCCCTGTCTCTCTGTCTTTGTCTCTCTCTCTCTAATTTTCTTTTCCTTGTCTCTCTCTCTATCTTTCTCTTCTTTGTCTCTCTATCTTTCTCTTCTTTGTCTCTCTATCTTTCTCTTCTTTGTCTCTCTATCTTTCTCTTCTTTTCTCTCTCTCTCCTCTGTGTCACTCTCTCTCTCTTCTTTGTCTCTCTCTCTATCTCTAATTCTCTTCTTTCCATATCTCTCATTTTCATTCTCTTCCTCTTTCCCTCCCCCTTCATATTTACCTTTCAGTTCTCTTCTAATATCTTTTATGCCTTTAAACCATTTTCATCTCCACTTATTTATTCTATACACAATTGAGGTGAAATGGTAGCCGATAAAAATTGCTTGCAGAATTTTTTTTTTTTTTCCACCATTAAACTGTTTTATTTTTTTGTCATTGATGGACACTTTACAATAGAATTGGAAATTCACTGTGAAAAGCCATACAGTGTTGAATGATTAATCTTCTTACCATGGCAACACTAAATCTCCACAAGATTTGAATAACTCCAATTAGAAAATCAATAATTCTTTGAGATTTTTCCTTGCTTTACCTGGTACAAACACTCACCAAGTGTCAAAGACTACAAGTATTTTACATGGATGCCGGTGACGCTACTTTCATCTTGAAAAAGAAAAAATGTAAACCTTTTAACCAATGATGAAAATAATGAATATTTTTAGATGTCTTCTGACACCATATCATTAATATTTTTATTTTTATTTTCATTTTTTTTTAGAAGAGGACTAAAATAAAACCAAAATCATTCCGTAAAATATTCTCAGTATTCAAATACCAAAGTACTTACTAATGTAACCAATTGTACTCTTTTTCTGTGAAATATTACAGACAAAATTATTCTTAAAATTTAATAAATAAACAATGTTAATTTTTAAAGACAGCTAGTAAACATTGAGTAAATATCTTCAGAATCCATCTTGCACACTTATAAATCTACCATTCATCTGTGCATTGAGTATTACTGTCACATCTGACCTGGTGCTTCTACTAATACTTGACAAAATTCAAAAAAGCATCCATAATGTAATCGATCCTGACCTGGCATGCTGACTTCAGTTACTTTCTCACTAATATTATATGGCATGGATTGTCTCTATCTATTCTACAAATATTTTCATGCCAATTGTTCTGATCCGTTCTCCTCCTTAGTGTCTAGTCAACATAAATTTAAGTGTGCTACAAGATTGGCAACTAGGTTTTATTGTTTAACTAGATGCAACTGTCTGTTCTATTCTAATAGTTTCATTTTTTGCACTTCTCACTTGTGTTCTTTGATTTCATACTTCCCTGCTACCTACAATCTTCAAAAATTTAAATGCATCGTCAATCGCCATCTTCTGTCTTCTTGAACCCTGTTCCTTTATTGTCCCTTCCTCACTTCTTCCCACTAAAGTCTTCTCATTCATCTGTCAGGTTGAAATACCAATTCTTGTACAATAACCAAAGTTAAGCAACTCCCTTCCAATTTCTTGCTTCCCATGCTACCTACAATTTTCAAAAATTTCAATGCATTGCCAATCGCCATCTTCTATCTTCCTGAATTCTCTCTCCTTATTGTCCTTTCTCCTCACTAAAGTCTTCTTATTCTTTTTCATTTCCTGTAAACATTGCATCCTATTGATATTATTTCCTTGCTTGGGGGTGAAATGGTTAAAAAAAAAAGAAGAGCAAATTTAATGGCATATAAGTACACGCACCTCCAATATACATTTAATGTTACACTATTATAAAATTAGAATAAGTACAAGTACTAGTAGTTAGTAGCATCTTAGTAAACATATCAACAGATACATCAACTTCACATTTAAAACTTTGGAGATAATTTTTGAGTGTCTTTTTGGTAATAAAAGAGAGGACAATAGTCTAGTAGATTAACGTGAATTTGGTGACATAGTAATTGTGAGTTCAATCCCTGGGCTGGGCAGTGTGTACTTGGACTCTATGAAAATGGAAGGGCAATAAAAATAAGAAGTACACAATATCCTTAGACATGGGCAATGGAATAAGTCTACCCTGTAGATTAAGTAAAGTGTTCAGTTCAGAAATCCCTGTAGGTTACTCAGATCGATATACATCTGATAAAGACCAAAGGGCACAAGGTCCGAAACGTTATGATAACAACAACAAAGATGAAGACAATAGTCGGAATATAAATAATGTAAATAATGAAAACTCCTCATCCCAGAAATTCAGATGTGTTAATTTCTTTACTATTTTGTTTTTTTTATTTCTTTTTCTCTTTCCCTTTTCTTTTTTCTTTTTGTTGACATAGTGGATTTGCTTAAGATTTAATCAAATTTGATTAAAAACATTGTGCATTTATCTTAGTAAGCATCCAGCTGAAATTTTCTTCACCTCAAACTAAAGTTACATGTATTATTTACATTATTTGGACTTATCCTCATCATCATTGCCATTTTCACAACATTTCAGCCATTGTATGCTCTGGCCTTCTTCAGGTGATTAGAATTTCGAACCAAACTCTTTATTTTGCCCACCAGGGTAGATTGTTCTAGTTCCACATGCCATGCCTCTTCCGGTTGTCTCAGTTATTTCCCTTTAACTCAAGTGAACCAAAATTTGAAGAGTTGAGTTAAAGGGAAATAACTGAGACATCCAGTAGAGGCATGGCATGTGGAACTAGAACAATCTACTCCAGTGGACGAAATAAAGGGTTTGGCTCAAAATTCCAATCACCGGAAGAAGGTTGGAGCAAACCATGGCTGAAATCTTGTGAATATGGCATTGAAGATGAGGATAACAGTTCGAATAATGTAAATAATACATGTAGTCATAATACCTCATCTCAGAGATATTGACAGATATTGAAACTAAAGTTATTACCCTGTTTTTAGCAAAGTTTAACAAAAGTACAGGCAAAATAAAACACATTTCAAAAGGATGTATTTCTCTTAACATTCCTATTACTGTATACTCCCTCAGTAATTTTTATGGTTTTAATAAAACCATAAGATATAAAAATGTATATAAATTTTTTTTCTTGAGAAATGACAACAAAAATGTTAAACACTACTTATTCAATAGTTTTTATCACTTTAAATGTTATTTTTTTGTGTAGACGTTCTGTTTATTTATTAATCAGTATATTTATTCATTTTCATTTACCGGTCTGACTATTCGAAAAATTTTATTAAAAAGAAATATTTGCACCCATCAGGATTTGAACCTGCACCAGCACCCCCTACACACACACACACACACACACACACACACATATTCACTTCCAGAAGGAACCACTATTAGATCAAACAGGCTTTTGACGGACTTGGCCATGGAAGGCATCACCTATTAAGCAAGGTCATATAGTGTCTTAGTCCAAGTCCTTCCCCAATTCTCAAAAGTTTATATCTGCTGAGTTTGGTATCGAAGCAGAAACATAAAGCAATTTCTAAAGAAGTAATGGATTTTTTTATTTATTAATCCAACAGATTTTATCTCTTTAAACATTATTTTTTATGGATACCCATATTTGAGTAGATTCTCTGTTTATTTATTAAACAGTATATTTATTTATTATTGTCTACCAGCCTGAATATTCAAGAAATCTTATTAAAGCAAAAAATGTGCACTCTCCAGCAAGATTCAAATCTGTCCCCCCCCCCTTTGCAGGATAAATGATCATTAGATCCAACATGCTTTAGACCAACTCGACCATGGAGGGCATTATCGATCAAGTAAGGCCAAATAGTGCCTTCAAGAGCATAGAATTTAATTTTTGAACCATAACAATAAATTTATTATTTACAATATTATAAAAATGTTTGTATATAAAAGAATGATTTTATAGTTACAGGATTGTAAAATATAGTATCAGACAATATTTATTATTTAGCAATTGTTTATTTACAAGATTATTAATTTATAATCTGCAATTAGCCATAACTATATGAAAATTAAGGCTTTGGTTTCATTTCAGACTAAAACAAAAAAAAAATTAGAAAAAGAAATCTGACTGTAGTAAAGTTAACTAAGTAACCATAACTATATCAGATTATCATATATACTCACCTAATTGTCAATCGATTCAAACTTTATAAAATGGTAAATAAGAATTTCCTAATAGTTGGTATGCATATTTTAACAATTTAGTAAATGTTCATAAATTTATGAATAAAAATTGTTGGCATGTTTATTTCATTATAAATTGGTAAATGATAAATATTGCATTACATTAGTCTTAATACAATTGTATTAGTTTTTAGAATGTTATAAATATTAAATTATCTAATATCTAATAGTGTTTAATATTTTTGCTGTTAATTCGCAAGAACCAAAAAAAAATGTATAATTTCCCTTTCATATGTTTAGGCTTTATTAAAATTCTAATCATCGCTTTTGAAAACAATAAACATTACCGAGGAGTGAAGGTAGTTAAAATAATAGCAGTGTCAAGGAAAAAAACATCCCTTTGACATTTTTTTTTTTTTTTTGTGGGCTTACAGGTCTAAGTTTGCCAGAATTGTCTTCAACTCTTATAAAAATCTGCCAGTGTTTTTGCAATCTTCCTAAGACTGTCGATACTTTTGGAAAAAAAATATAGAATGCAGAATCTGATAAAAGAAAAAAAACTAAAATCAATTTGAAAGGAACACTTATTTGTCACTTATTTAATATTGTTTTCTTTTTTCTTTTCTTTTTTTCTTTTCTTTTTTTGTTTCTATTATCTCTTTAGCACTGATCCCCACCAACCCCGCAACTTTTATTTTATCAATTATTGCTTTGTCTGGGCAGAGTTCATATTACCTCTGAATTGGATGCCAGACTAATACAAAACATTTATAAAAGAAAAGGCACCAAATTTCTTGTATTCTTTCTGATATTCTCTTCCAGTTTAATCTGCGCTTTGAACAGATACAATTCTAATAACAATAATTAGAAAAAACTCATTTTGTTTTGAAGAATAATTATCAAAAACAAACACCTCATTATGCTATAATTATCATCATAACTTAAAACACATATACAACTGTCTGTACTATTAACCTGTCATAGTCAATGCAATAAAAATAGTAAATCTTACAAAATACACAAATTTATAGGTAGTGCTATGAATATAGTCAATATGAGAAGAGACTGAAAAGTTCTCAGCCCAACCCTTTTCCTATAATCTGACCAAATATCAGAATTTTTGAAAATTCCTTCTTGGTCAGTTCAAGAAATTTTCAGCATCCATCATATTATCAGATAGAATTATAAAATATTAGTTAATATTATCAAAATGATCATTACTATAAAAATACAATAGTCAATATTATCAATTTTTCATAAAGTATAA